GATGATGATGATGATGATGATGATGATGATGATGATGATGATGATGATGATGATGATCTTTCTCTAACATAGTGATGTTCTTGTTTACCAACTGTTACAGGTTATGGGGCAGACTCCAGGTAAGCTGTTGATTGAGGACATGGGTCTAAAAACCACCATGAAGAGAAGGACCTGGCTCATGATGACTCATTTGCTTCATCATGGAAGTCTGAACTCCTCCGGTCCCGTCCCGGACGGTACCGGTCAACGGTCAACGGTCGACAACGACGGCCGTCGACCGCCACGTCCGACGTCCATCAAAGGACAACGTGAAGGACGTGGCCCCTGTGCCCCGGGCGTTCGCAAGAAGTTCTTCTCACTGAGTTTGCACACATCGATGCCCGTCTCCGTCTCCTGAAGCTTGGTTTAGGGGAAACCGGCGGGGTTTTGCATGGCTGCCATGGCAGCCACGCTGAGATCAGACTTTAAAACCAAATGTTGCAGTCATGATCTTGATTGATATATGTGTTTGTTTTGAATCACCCCTCACAACTAAGACTACGAAAGGTCTAATTAGGCGAAGAGCAAGAAACAAACCAATGACTGTGAATACTTTTGAACGTCCCTCGTGTGCAAGTCATGTTCCCTACCCCTACCCCAAATGGATCACAAAGTGACCCTCAGCAAGTCTTCATCACAACTTCCCAGCTTGTCACCTACGGCCAGAATCCCCCCCCCACCCATCTCCCATCTCCGAGCATGTTCGGCCCGACATCACGTGGTCCATGGCCCGCCTTGCCCATGTTCTTGATGTACTTGTTCGCTTGTCGCTGCGGATCGATCATCAACGGCCAACGCCTCGTCCGGCGCTCCAGCGGGTCGTCCGAGCGACCATGCCCAGTGGTGCAGAGCTGTGGAGTAGCTGGTGATTGAAACATACGGAACCCCCGGAGTTCGGGAGGCACCCGGCATCCTCTAAAAAGATCCTGAAACAAAAGGACGGAGGGTCCTTTGCTTCACCCCTGGCTGATCAACCGAAAACTCACGATAGCCTTCGGATCCTGAGGTGCTTCCTTCGGATCTGGAAGTTGATAGGGGAAGGACAGAATTATTGTTCAAAACAAAACATGTCACCCAACAGTCAAGAACTGTGAGCTGAGTTCCGGAAGAAGGCCAAATCCGGAGTCACAAATCAGCTTCCATGCCACCATGTCAGTGGATCGAATGCAGCTGTGCCATGCGACTCCGGCCTGGCTCTGTCAATAATGATGCCGTTCTCGATGGACAGCTGGTCGTTGGGAAGTGCACACACCACCCACTGCCTAACACACCAAGCTTGCAACCACAATGGAGCTGGGATTTAAGTGCAATTAATTGATTAATATCAGGTTTCCGTTGGTCTGGGATGTCTGCCCATGTTTCTAATCGAGGCTGCTCGTGGTCGTGTTTATGAGGGAAATGGCCTTCTTGGCAGTTCCTTGGGTGGTCCAGCCCACATTCAGGGCAAACTGGTCCACTCTTAAACCGTGCTTACCTTCCTGACACCCTTGCTCCTGTTGCTGTAGACTTCCAAGCCCGCATTGCAGTGACAATTCGACATGACATGCCCAAACAGTCATGCTTCTCAGTGACACTTTGCGGCTCCGTAAGTGAGCATAGTTCCAAAGTCTGAACACTGAAAAGTAACCAGGGACATACGACACACTTAGATTGATGCTCGCAAGAGCTGAATCAGTTGACGAAGGTTCTCTTTACTGCAATTAGACCCTTACACGCAATTAGACCTTGGCTGAGGGAACGGAAAGGTGAAGAAGTCCGGAACAACAGAAATGTTAGCCGCTTACTGCAAAACACCGTAGTGGACAGCTTGAAAATAGTTCAAACATGTGCTGCAGGTACGTCAGTTTCGCGTCCAGAACTGATATCCTCACCGGGTATTGCCAGCTTCGTTGGTGGAGAAGCAATACCGGTGTCTCCACCCCCTGCTTCTTACTTGTTTTTTCGACCACCAGAGGTGAATTATTCGATGCATCTTCCTTAGAAACAGGTGTTGACACACACACACACAGCTGCTCTGGGCAAACTTTTGTATATAGTCTTGATGAAACTTAATTATTAAAGTTGTTTATTACTACGAACAGTTCATTGTTGCATTTCATGTCCCCTTGCAATACTGCCAACAACCTTTCTACATGCATCTATATATGCACATAATTGCACACACTATCACACATTGCTCATATTAGACTCATGTGTTCATAGCTAAACAGAAGTATCAAAAGTGCAAGCACCCTGCAAACGCAGCAACATATTATATAGTACGTGCAGCATATCTAGGCCAAACTTGAGATGAGATCATTGACCTGCAGCAGGCTTCTATCGCAAAAGCCTACTGTATCATATTGTATCATGACCAATTTGTTCCACAACTTTGCCAGGCTGCTGAATCTTCACTGGATCACCCAGCACGGTGGACATGCTGCAGCCTGGCATGTGCAGGCTCGGCATAGCCCCAGTTTTTCAACGGATTGATCCTCTCCCATTTTCTTTAAGTGTACACACGGTATAGTATAGTATAAACATGCACATGGCAACACCTCTGCAGCATTGGGCTCCAATACCTCGCTATAGCCTCATTTCAATGAATGCCCAGACTCTGGGCATATTGGGAATGCTGATTCATGCCTAATTCTCACAGTTCAAACTTCAACTCGTAACCCGTAACTAGGAATAAGTTGAGCAAAAGGGTCCAAAATGGTCTTCGTTGTCATTGTGAGAAGACTCAAGCCAGCAAAAGGTCAATGAATGCGAGGGTTTGTATATGTCTAAAATAATGCATTGAATAGGTCAGTGATCGGTCAGTGCAGGCTCAATGGTCAAGTTGGAATTGTCTCCTCACTGTAGACTGTAGACCAAATCAAACTATCAACAGGATTCACAAAACAGTGATTTATCTGTGGGCTACCCAGTCTCTCTCTCTCTCTCCCTCTCTCTCTCTCTGTCTCCCTCTCTCTCTCTCTGTCTCTCCCTCCCTGCCTCCCTCTCTTGCTTCCTATCACATACAAAAGACGTGGAATCCCGTGAGGATCACAGCCACTGCTCCTCCCTTCTGGTGTCACCTCCAGTGTCCAACCCCTCCCCACTTCTGTCCTGCTCGCATTCCCCGCGTGCCTTTGGTGTGTGGCATCTCCAGCACCTTTAACTCGCTCCGCCAGAGCTCTTCGCATTCCCCGCGCACCTGCGACGTGAAGGGCCCTGCCTCAGCGCGCGGCACCGGGATCCGTCGGCTTTTGGCGCCGCCTTTTGGCGCAAAAGACGTCCCCTTCGGGGGGACGTGTGCGTCGTCGTTGTTTTCGGGGTGATCCGGTCAAAGTGTGACAATAAGGGATGCATACTGAAAGACACATGTTTCATGACGAACTGTACAGAGTTCAGATTTTCTCGGTTTTCAGGACAGTTCTCCCACATCTCGCCTTGTCCTTCCTCAATTTTCCCCAGTTCTCCACTCATCCACCCATCACTTGGTGGTCCAGGCATAGGAGACCATCCCTGCAGCGACCACACAGTCGCCGGGCAAAAGCCCCAGCTGCGCGTTCAAGTCCTGCGCATGAAGCGTGGACGAACTCCAGGTGGTAGAAGATCCGTGACGGATCTGAGGAATCTGATTCGGGCCTCCCCGGGAAAAAATAAACGAACAAACAAACGAACAAAAACCGCAAAAACACACCATGTTTACAGGTTACAGTCTCCTCATGTTTGTTCACCTATTATTTGTTGTTGCCAATGTTTAAGCCGTGCGGCCTTCTTAGTGCAGGGCCTAAGACTGCCTAAGAGGTGTGCTACACTGTGGATCCATATCTCCGGGCATCCATCTAGTGCCGCATCCCCTGCAGCTTCTCTACGAAACACATGAAACTCATGAATCCGAGCAACCCAAAAAGAGATCCAACAAATCCAAAGACATGTCTTTTGGCCTGGCGCTGCAAGGCGGCTAAAATGCTCCGTTTCAGGGTCTGAATGATCTGTTTCTCTGCCTCGCGGTCTCAACCGATGAGCTGACTCCCACTGACATCCTCTGACTATCAGAATTATATAACAGGATAGAATAGGTGGACCCCAAAAAACGCAACAATACAGAATGCACCCACGTCTCATGCACCCACGTCTCACGCACCATGCTCAAATCCTTGGGCTCAAACCCGAGTCCACTCAGGCCACCCGACTCGCTTGGCTCGATACTTCGCTTCGCTTCGACGACGGCGGTGGATGGGCGGGCTCGTCCTTGACGTTCTGTCCCCAGCGGGCTTTCTCCCCGCCCAAGCCGTTGATGAGCTTATGCCTGGGTGCAACCAAAGGCTGGCTGGGGTTGGTGGGTAAACCAAAACAGGTCACCAAATTCACCAAATGCCGTGAATTTCCCTATCTGGGCCGGTGAAGGTTCCTCTCGACATGAGTTTTGCTGAAGTGGCCGTGGCCTTGACATCCTTGATAACGCTTCCAAATACTGTGGCTACAGTGCAAGAGAGATTCTAGGGGATCCCCTCGCCACAAGTGTTCTTCCTTTCCTTCCTCTCTCTCTCTCTCTCGGTGACCCTAGGTCCAAGTACCTCTACATATATTCGCATACCTAGAACCTCGTTAGGCAATAATTTCCGCCCAACACCATTTAGGCAGAAAATTCAGCCCGTTTTTGCAAAGAACGCCTAAGCTGCAGCCTCGAGGGTCAAAAACGCCGAGGCACAATCACATGCATTCTTACATGCAGGAGGCAGAGCCAGAATTTGAATGACGAGAATTGAGAAAACAAACGCCTGCCACTTGACGCTAATCCCCAGTCCAAAGTTATTGAAACTCATGTCGCTCACTGCCCCCAAAAGGCTACCATTCCGTTGTCCGCCCAACTACTGATTGTAGTGAGGGGGGAACGGGCAAGAACGCCGAAGTAACGGGCAAGAACGCCCAAGTAACGGGTAAGAACGCCTAAGTGACAGGAAGAACACCTACGCAAAAAGATATTAAAGCAATGAATCAAAGCATAGAAAAACTAAAAACATACAAAAGAGATCACAAGAGAAACATTAAGTGAATTCCTGACAAACAAATGTACCTCACTATGAAAGTTCCTGGAATCAGTGGTGGGTGGATCCTCATCTATTTGAGCAATGCCACCAAAAGGACAAGAACGCCTAAAGGGGGCAACAACGCCTACAGGGGGCAAGAACGCCTAAGCACGGGCAAAGTCGCCTTTACCCATAATAGGCAGAAATTTCTGGCGAAGAAGAGGTTATAGGTATATAATATATATAGAAGGTATTTGGACCCTCTAAACCCACCCGAGTCCCACCTTCTAAGAAGGTCCGACTGGAGCCCTAGGGTGAACCTGAATATATAACTCCTCCCAACTGGTGCCGCATGGCACTGTTGGATCATCCATCCAAGACCGGCCCGGCTCGTTGGGCATAGCTTCTTGGGGCGCCCGGCGCACGTTGCAGCTTCACCTCACAAAGGTTCATGTCATCTTGCAGCTCCTGGCGCTGTCGCGCTGTCGCCAAAGGAAGGAGAGAAGTGATGTGACATGAGGGGAGGGGAGGGCTTCCTGAAGGTCAAACTCTTGGCGAGTTTCAGTGGAGGCATCCAACATGTGATTCATATGCACCCCTGAAAAAGATGCACAGTGATACGGCTCCCGGGAGGCTCGTCGACTCACTCTTCTGCTTCTCCAGCAGTCGCAGTCCTTTTGCTTCTGCACGGCAGCATTAAACTCCGCCTGCGGCACCGTCACTGGGCGAACTCGGCGACAAACAAATCCACCCAGTTCGGACACATAACACTGAAAAAAGCTCCTGGCTGGGTTTGTATTCAACACAGCGGGCAGCGGGGGGAATTCCCCCCCATGATGAAGGTCTCCCACACTCGTGCTGAGCCACACAAACACAAACTCTGTCTTGAACTGGCAAAAGAAGACTTTTAACATGTCTCAGCACACCTAGGAGTATGAGCTGGCTAAGAAGCAACGTCTAAAAAAGTCAGGAATTACATGTTTAGGATAGATGCAACACACATACTCAAACTATCTCAAACTATTTTTTTAGGTCCTAGGATGACTCAGTTGGTATAGGAGAGAAATCACCGAGTCATCGAGTGCCCAGTTTTCGTTTTTTCTCGGTCGGCCTCGAGGGTTTCGATCTTGCTCCTCAGAAGGGGGAAAAGGGCAATCGCTCAGATCGATCGTGGAGAGTAGAAGCAAGATCTTACACCCCGGAAGATTAACATGGAACCTGAACATGGACCTTTGGAAGACTATTTACTTTTACAAGCTAGTGGCTTTCAGGTTCCTGCTTGCCTGAAGCTTCGCAAAAGTGCACTGCAGATGAACAGAATATCAGAATCACTATCAGAATCATCCTCTAAGGCCCTTCCCCCTAGTACATAGACATAGTCCCCTCATATTAAAGTCCAAACCCAAATAAATCTCCGATCAAAGACACCTTAATTTAAGCCAAACAGGAGTCCCAGGAGTATAGTGTTCGAACGATTGCTTGACATCAGCTGTCTGAAGGTTAACCCATGTTAACCGGTTTATCATCACAAACCATGGCCAAGCTGAACGTACCTGCTGGCCAAGCTGAAAAGGACTTTACTAAGCTGACTTCAGGCACTAAACGAGTTTGTCTTAAGAGAGACTCATCAGCGATGAATGAATGCTGAAGATTACAGTAAGTCTTTCCAGATGCTGCTGTGCCTGGAGCATGTCCGATGAGGCCCTCTGTTACCATCTTTGAGGTCCAGAAACATGCGAAAACTTCACAGGAACTCCACCTGTGCCAGAAAACCAACACACAAACACATGAAAAAACAGAACACACAAAAAACAAACACCAAGTGCTTTCAGCTCTGCAGTCCGGGCCCTCCAAAGGAGCGCTTCTTGGTTGCTTGTTGCTCTGTCCAGCGGATTTTGGACCCTCGATGTGGTGCGTGGCTCGTTGAAGGCCGAGGCTCTGAACCTCACGCAACCTGGACTGTGCAGCGTCCAACTTCTCCTGGAGCGCGGTCATTGCCATGGGCTGTGCATGGCTGTGCCATCTATATACTGTTACATAGGGAACCTGTACCTAAAGCATCATCATTCCTAAACCTTCCTTTCAAGTAGATCAGGATGATCATCGGATGATCAGGACAAAGAAGTACCGAACCTGTTTGCCGGGGAACCTTCACTGAGGCAGCTCGTCTTGATCGGAAGCTTAGGACTGGGACAAAGTCATCCAAAGTGGTTGGGTGGTTGGGGCAGTCGCATTGGCATCACCCTCCCGCATCTCCCCCATTTCCGACCGCCGTCAAAGGTCGGCATTCCTCTGCTAAAAGTTGATTCTAGTAGCGAGGCAACAAAATTCTCTTGCAACCTGCTTGACCCACTCTGGCGAATTAACAGTAATTACCTGCCACCAATTCCCACAAAACCTTAACCCGCAGTGGTAAGAGCTCCTGGCACTCAGCCAGCTCTGCTTCTGCCTTTTTCAACAACTGACGCTTCGGCCTGAGCGAAGAAACCGCTCCGGGAGTGGGTGTAAACACATCCGGTGGGATGTAGCTGTGGTAGTTGCACTCCAGAATCCAGAATCCAGAAGACATACATCATCATACATCTACCATCATCTACCATCAGTCTTACAGCAAGAATGGCCAAAATACGAAGAAACCACAAGGTCCCTCAGATCCGCTCGTCCGTTGTCCTCTCAAAGATCTTAGGCGTTTTGGTGACATGTCCGAGGGCAGTGGTCGTGCCTTTTCATGTTGTTTGAGAATCTAGGATTTAAAGGACCACTGGGAACTGGAATGCTGGATGTTGCATCATGTTGCCGTGATTTCCCAATGCTGGATGCTGCAAATGCCTTCCGTGGTCCACACGCCCGGTTGGTCAACCTTGGGAGCCCCAGCTCCACGGCTTTGGCGACGAAGTGGTACTTGTACATGGCCCGCACCTTTTTGGTGCGAAAAAGGGCAAACGGCGCTGTTTCGCGGAGGAGTTGTTTTATGAAGACAAAAGCACAAGTATGATAGAGCGGGTCGGGTCCCAATTTGTTTTTAAGCTGGCCGAAGTGTCGCTAATATCGGCTGCCTCTTTAATTGGAGGTCTCCAGTTTTGGGATCCAAGAATCCAATTCTTTGCCATGATCAACTGTGCTTCTTAGCGGTCTTCAATGTATTGGGGGGTACGCCTTCAACTGACGGCATCAATCTGTGATACTACCCTTCTTCTCATCTTCTCGACAAAGGCTTGGAGCCTCCCCGGAATCCAACAACACAGTGCAGGACGCCAAAATGTTTCTTCCGTGGAACGTCAAATCCAACACAGGCGCCTGGGATCCACCCTGGAACCTTCGGATTGCTGTGGGATGATCCAGCCAGCAAGAACGCCGCGCGGCAGCTCAATCTGCACTTTTTGCGGATCAATTCCGAATAGAACTCCTGTGACATCATACTCCACATGCTGCAAAAACCATGTAAATCACCTTGACATGACTATATATACATATAGCAGACATATAAATTTAAAGTAACTTAAATATAGATAATATATATATATATAGCATACATGCATACATAAGACCTTGTTTCATAGTGACTTCGGCCACGGTCTCTGTTGCTTAGCAAAAGCACCGACGAAACGGGAGGGCTCCGAGGGCTCCCGCGTCTCGTCATCAGCGGCTCGTCTGGGCCGCCGGGCCCACAAGCACAGGGCTTCGCAAGCCACCGAGGCCTACGAGTCCACCGTAGGAAGCTGTGAAGAACCCAACGGGAAGAACAAAAGCCGGGCAAAACCTGAAAATGGGAAGAGGATGGAAGAGGAAATCCTCAAAAGATTGCAGAGTTCTTGAAAGTAGCCATATGGATGTGTTAGCAGCTCTGTTAGCATGAGTCCTGAATCCATGAGACACTGTCTCTGGAAATGACATGTATCCAGTAATGGGCGTGCATGGTAAACGATAAGACTTCCGCGTACCCAACAAAAACGATCCTTAAGTAGGCATATATACTATGTATGAATCCTAATGCAGGCCATGTCCAATTGGCCAATCTAAGCAGCGCTACCCGCATGCGGCGAAGGATGCTTCCCCAATGTCTATGTTTCTCTCACAGGTGGTCAGGGATGCCCCGGTGCGGTTCGTCACGGTTCATCCCTCTTACCGTACCCCTGAAACTACTGGTTTCTGCTGATTTCCAAGTGGCTCACTGCATGTAGTAGACCTCAAACGCCTATGTTTGTGGTCACCCTTGGACTTGCAATGGGCTGACTTAACAGGGCAGGTTCATGACAAACATTGACAAACCAGGCGTCGGAAGGTGTAACTGTCCGCATCTTTCAAGTGTCTGCGTGGGTAACTTTGCTGAAGGACAACAAAACCCCTCTACACTATTCCTCTACGCTATTCTAAACCTACCAGAAGTCATTGGCGGCATTGGACACATCAAAAAACATCAAAAACGTTTCCTTCCTACTCTCTTTGATCTCGCAGTATGAACACCCATGAGAAGTCACTATTGAGTACTGTCTTAGAATTAACAAATGTCTGAGTCTAATGCAAACTGCACCAACCCTCATACCATAGCCAACCTTGGACCCATCCAAACAGTCAACACTAAATGCATCAGCTATCTGCACTGCAGTTCGCTCATTGCCATCCCATTTGGCACCAAAAAACCACACTCGGCTTGGCTTGCAATCGAACGTGCCCAGTGGACACACCGAGAACAACGTCGAGTTTTCCATCAACCTTCGGACTCCGGTGCCTTCTTGATCGCAGCAGGGTCGAAATCCTCTCGTTCGATGTAGGGGCCAATGGTTGCGATCACCTGGCCGATCGCAACAGTGCCGGAGATGTGGAGGCTCAAGAGGCTCAATCAATCGAGGCCATTTACCAATCTTCCTCAGGTGGCACACTTTTGGACAGTAGAATAGTAGAAGCATCCAAGTGCAAACAAAAAGGACTGCCCATGTTCGTCCATGGGTTACCCAGAGAAGAAGTGACCACATCATCGAACGTTAAGCCTTCATGCCACTGATGCCAATCAAAACGGTACGTGCGCTGTTTGTGACTCCAATTGAGCTTGAGAGGAGGGCCGGAATTGATGGGGTCGAAGCACGTCCAGATCTCCAGCACTTTTCCACTTTTGAAAGCCCAGTCACCAACCTCTGTACCACTTCATACCTAGGGAAAGCCTGATCTCCTCTCAGCCCAGGGGCGCCCCCGACCCGGCCTTGTCCGGGATGTTATCCTTGTCGAAATCCATGAGGTCTTCCAGGAGCTTCTTGGCATCGACCAAGACCTGGACTCAACTGCTCGGCAATCACAAACACCGATCCACAGATCCTCTATAAAGAGAGTCCATTAATTTTCCGCTGTGGAGCTTGAAGTACTCATGTGAACAACAATCAACTCACACTCCAGAAGTGCACTTCGTATTAGCCATAGTTTCAGGATGTTACTCCCATCTCACCCGCGACATCTCGCTTGTTTATACCTCGAGCGCTTCGGGTCGTGTCAGCCCACCTGCTTCTGAGAGGTTTCCCAGTAGTCCTGGCCGCTCAGTTTCAGGGCGTGAAGTTCCACAAACCAAAAACAACCATCTGATGTCTCAAGAGCTGCCTCAGGCCTGGCCTCATTGGCATATGAACGTCATCATGGGTCACATGTCTGGAGCTTGGGGAGCTTGATTCATTGAGCCCTTGGTTGGTTGGGTCGTCTGGCCCTAGCGCGTGACCAGTTAGGTACCACAGGCCAGGGCGGCCCTAGTGGTCCCCAAATAGATGCCAGTAGAAACGGTTTCCAGTATATAACATGTTTAGTGGGGATCCACCTTTCTATCTCATTTTGGGGGTCTAGTTGAAGACAATCAAATTCAACTCGTCAATGACCAACAAAACCACGAGGGACACCTCCAATTCCTGTGCCAAAGAATTGCTGGTATAAACCGGGTGAAAAGCTGGAAGTTGTTCCCCATTCTCCCCCTTTCCCATCCCTACAGGTGTCTCGTGCTGTGGAATGTTTGTCCTCGATCTTCTTTGAAGGATTGTTGGGATCTGGCTTCTTCACTGGCTTCAATTGGAACCTCAGCTCTGACCGACTCTTACAGCCTCCTCGGCCGATGTGCCGGGTGGTCCTTCGGTCCGGAAAAAACAGCTTTGGATGCTTCCAACTGCTCCACTGCTCGGTGGTGCTTCGGAGGCCCAAATTAACAATGCCCTAACGTGAGTGCAGCTCCTGTTTTCTTCGATTGCGGATGACATCGGTGGAACATCATAACATCCTCTCAAAGCAAATGCGATGCAAACATACGGCTCTGAGCTGATGACGATCCAAACTTGGCATGTTCTATAGTTACCATCCTTGACAGCGTCCAGACCTGTGTAGTTCTCAAGAAAACGCAAGTAAACCCAAGGCAACCTGCCACTCTCCAAATCACTCACTGCACATCTCGTGGCTTCCTACCTCCGACTACAACCTCAAAACATCATCGCCTCCCACCGCCCCGTGGCGCCCAAGGCACATAATGCAAACAGCCTCACACGCCAAGCGGACACCCGCGGGTGGATTTCCCAAGGCTTTCACCTCTTGGATGTGCTCCTTGGCCGCTGGTGGTCGGAAACGCTGGCGGTGCAAACCGCGTGACTGCGAGTCAGGGGTGAGGGGTGTTCGAGAGGGGCTTTCTTTGATTCAGGTGATTGTTTGCAAGAATCAGGAGAAACGTGGATGAATTGGAGGAATCTGAGCTCAATCTGCACACAGCTGCACACAACCACGTAATTCCATGTAATTCCCAGTTCGTCTTCGTCGTGCCGCCCATTCCTGGCCCTCCCGGTGTGCCGCTGGTCCCGAGCAGTGGGAGCGCCCCCCCCCCCCGCCTTGCGAAGTTTCTTCAAGCATTCCACCTGAGGTGAACTCCGGTACCCTCCCCGAGTCGGGATCCGGAGTGATTGGTCCATAGACCATCCATGTGTGGAATATACCCCCAACAAAAACACACCGGACCTCAATGTAGGCAAATCATCGACAACATGTGTCTGGTATTTGGATGAGGTTGGGGATGCCACTTAGCGTGGTCACTGAGCAAGTGGCAATAGTCTACAGGATCGACGCCGGATGCCGACCCCTTGAAGGGGTCGACGGCTGGGAGGGTCAGCACCAAACACCAAACAGAATGACCAACACGAGTGAGAACCTGGACCCCCAGTCGGGGTTGGTTCATGGGGTGTCCCGACTGACCTCCAAAGTAGCGGAGATGAATGAAACACCCGGAATCCGTGGTGCTGGTAGTGAGAATGGGATGTGGTTCGGCCCATCGGCCCATCAAATATAGCTTGCTATCCGGGCTGCCGAAGCAGCCCGAACCGACCTCCGAAGAACCACATCCACGTCCAGACGACTTCAGTAAATGCTCTGGAGTGTCCCGAAGCGACGATGGAAGGGACTGGAAGGGATGCCGAAGTTGAACCAAAGACATACGCTCCCAAATGGTGGTGTCCCTAAAAGACGGCGAAGCCGACTTCTACTCCGCTTCTCGATTGAAACCTCCACCCCAGGTGGCAATCCCCTAGCCGATCGCAGCGAGAAAACCCCTCGCCGCGGCGTCACCCATCGCGCGAGTCGCGAGTCGACGTCATCTGGGCGTCCCAAACCGCTTGGTCCAAGGCCGGGAGCGCTTCATCCAAGTCCCTCTGAGCATCGTCCTGCGGAGGGACAAAGGAAGTCCCATGAGCAGAACAACCATCCGTGTGCTCGAGCAACAGCCACTGACCGAGCAAAGCGCGGCTTTTTGCGTTCCGTCCAAGCGTTCCAAGGGTCTCTTCTTCGTGTCAAAAACATGCTGGAATGAACATGGGCGCGTAAGGTAATTATGAGGTACGTACATCAACAACAAAAACCAACCATCAAAATTAATAAATTACAAACAAACAAACTATGCTGCATGGACATGTGCAACTAAAAGGTAGGCCAAACTCATACTCTTAAAAAAGGGGTCACTATAGGTCCTGAGTCCATGCGTTGATGCGCTCCCCACAAACAAATACACCTTCATACACAAACCAATACATGCATTCGGAGTCCCAACCACAAGTGAGTCAGGAGTCAGGGATGCCCTCCGTTGTTGGCATCACATCGCTGTGGGTCCACACCACAACTTGCTTGACCGGGACAAAATGGGTGTCGGTCGCTCCATCGTGGACCGGTCCGGCTCCACCTGCCGGGCCATCAGGGGTTCTGATCATCGACAGCCGTCAGCCGTGTGCCCGAACGCCCACGCAACGACCACGGCGCGCGGCGGTGGAGCGCTGCGTCCTTAATCGCTTGAGTCTCTTCAGCCTTCAAGGCTGCTGCAGCCTCTTCAGCCGCCACCGCCTGGAAGAAGATGTCTAGTGGTCTGGGGTGGTTGAGTTGATGTCATGTAGTGAACCAAAGGGTATACGGATGTATACGGTATACATGCCAGTTTTTTTCTTGGTGGTTGGATCTGACGAAGGTCAAGATATTGCAACTTAGTGGCAGTATATAATGGACATTGAGACATCTGTTTGATATTATCATGCGTGCTATTGCAGCTTGTGAGTTTCGGTAAGGGATGCCTTCTTTGACTCTTTAACTCTGCGACTTTGCAACGGAGTCTGAAACACAGGCTCCAAGTGCTTGACGTCACTAGCGTGCGCTCAACATCACTGCTCGCACAACATCTGTTTTTGCCTCATGGAAACAAAGGAGTGCCACGATGAGTGTGGAAGATTGATGGAACATGCTTCCAGGAGGGCAGCTAAGAACATGGTGTTTGCTCTCTTGAGAGTAGGTACACCCTGCCTTGCTGACTTCCTCCGCTTCGCCTTTATCTTTCGTGATCACCACCTGGGCTTGCTCGACGGATTCGGGTGCTGCAATGGTCGATCAAAGCAGTTTCTCTTCAACGTGTGTACAGGATCGCCCCGCAATGCATTGCTTGCCAAAAGAAATGTCTCCTCCTTGCGCGCCTGGCACCACAAACACACAAAAGAATAACAAAACATCATGCCCCATGTGAAAGACATATTTAATAGACCTACGGCTCGGATGCTAGCTGCTAGTGCCGCCCCTGAAACATCTTTCAGTGCATCTTGCAAACACACAACTCCTCATGATGCACACAACTCCGCAAAACTCTTGCCTCCAATCCCACGCAGTATATAGTTTTCCGGATGTTTCTGGAAGAGTTCGGAGTTGTATACTCCAAAGCGGCAAGGTGGAACCCCAACAGCATTGCAGATTATGCAGATTGATTGCAGTCCTTACACTCCATGGTCCACCTTCAGATTCTCTGTAGTCCTCGAGGAGAGGACCTCTCGAATCCAACCTCTCGAATCCATCCTCCTCGGGCTCCAGGCTCCGAGGGTGGGTCTGGCAAGGTCTGATCTGGGCTACGGCCGCCGCCCTGGGCCACCCGGCCATCATTTCACTCACCTCCTTTTGAGTCTTTTCAAGTACCGGCCTCACCAGCCCGCAACATCGGCACGAACTCTGCGCTGGCGCGGCCGCGGCCAGCGCGCCAGGAAGAACCCGAACTGTGGAGAGAAATGGACAAAGCAATACAAAACATGTCTCATCTACAGTGGTACACGGCTCATTTTGGAACCTAGAAACGGCTCATTTTGGAACCTGGCTCATTTTGGAACCCAAACGAAAAGAAAGCTCTCCGGGACTGCAGCGTGAGACCAATTTCGCGGCTCATTTTGGAACACGCATCATTCGGTAGTGCTTCGAAGGTAGCATTTGCTAGTGAAAATGAGTGTTTCGTGCGAGACTTCCTCCAAAAGTGAGCCGTGGAAGTCTCCAGAACGAGCGTATCGTACGAGACTTCCTCCAAAAGTGAGCCGCGGAAGTCTCCAGAACGAGCGTTTTGTGCGAGACTTCCTTCAAAAGTGAGCCGCGGAAGTCTCCAGAACGAGCGTTTTGTACGAGACTTCCTTCAAAAGTGAGCCGCGCAAGTCTAGAGATGTTTTTGTGCTGGAATTAGGCCTTCACGTGAGGGCTCCTTTAGGATGTCTTGGGTTTCACTTAGGGCTTCACTTCTTTAGGATGTCTTTGGGTTTGACTCAGGGATTCACTTCTTTAGGGCCTGGTTTGGTTTTGCTTAGGGCTTCCCTCCGGATGTCTTGGGTTTCACTTAGGGCTTCGCTTCTTTAGGGTTTCTGGCTGGTTTGCCATAGGACTTTGCTGTTTTAGGATGTCTTTGGTTGTGACTTAGAGCTTTACTTCTTGAGGGTCTCTTTTGGCCTGCCTTATCGCTTCACTTCTTTAGGATGTCTTTGGCACAAATTCAACAGCATCTCTTGCTCAACATTTTGTGTTTTGTGCACATGGTCGTGGTAATTACGTGCTTTGGCGAAGCTGGGTTTGGTTTTGCTCAGGGCTTTGCTCTTTTAGGGTTTCGTTTGGTTTGCCTTAGGGGCTTGCTTCTTTAAGATGTTTTTGGGTTGGCATTAGGGCTTCAGTGGAGAGGGGCTTAGGGCTTCACTTCTTTAGTCTTCTTTGTTTTGCTTCAGGCTTCACTCCTTTAGGGTTTCATGTGGTTGAGCTTCCGGCTTTGCGTCTCTAGGATGTCTTTGGGTCGGATAAGCCTTTACTTCTTTGGGGTCTCTTTTGGTTTTGCTTCGGGCCTCGCTCCTTTAGGGTTTCTTTGGTCTTAGCTTAGGGGTTCACTTCTTGAGGATGTCTTTGGATTTGACTCAGGGCTTCACTTCTTGAGGATCTGTTTTTTTGCTTAGGGTTTCGATCCTTTAGGTTTTCTTTTGCTTCTTTAGGATGTTTTTGGGTTGGACTTAGGCCTTCACGTGAGGGCTCCTTTGGGATGTCTTGGGTTTCACTTAGGGCTTCACTTCTTCAGGGGGGTTGAGGGCTTCAGTTCTTTAGGATGTCTGTGGGTTTGACTCAAGGCTTCACTTCTTTAGGGTTTGGTTTGGTTTTGCTTAGGGTTTCGCTCCTGTAGGGCCACGGTTTCTTTTGGCTTGGCTTAGGGCCTTGCTTCTTTAGGATGTCTGTGGGTTAGACTTCGGCCTTCACCACCACCCCCTCAAAAAAAGAACGCTTCTCAGAAACCAGTCCCCAGAAACCACTTCCCAGAAACCAGTCACCAGAAACCAGTCTCCAGAAACCACTTCCCAGAAACCACTTCCCACATACAACTTCCCAAAAACCACTGCCCAGAAACCACTTCCCAGAAACCACTTCCCAGAAACCACACCACTTCCCAGAAACCACCTCCCAGAAACCACACCACTTCCCAGCAACCACTTCCCAGAAACCATCCCCCGAAACCACTCCCCAGAAACCAGCCCAGAAACCACTTCCCAGAAACCACTTCCCAGAAACCACACCACTTCCCAGCAACCACTTCCCAGAAACCACTTCCCAGAAACCACTTCCGAGAAACCAGCCCCCAGAAACCACTTCCCAGAAACCACTTGCCAGAAACCACTCCCCAGAAACCACTTCGCAGAAACCACTTCCCAGAAACCACTTCCCAGAAACCAGCGTCCAGAAACCACTTCCCAGAAACCAGCCCCCAGAAACCACTTCCCAGAAACCAGCCCCCAGAAACCACTTCCCAGAAACCACACCACTTCCCAGAAACCACTTCCCAGAAACCACACCACTTCCCAGAAACCAGCCCCCAGAAACCACTCCCCAGAAACCACTTCCCACTTCCTAGCCTCGGGAGACCATTTCACCCGCGTTCCGAAACAAGACGAATCCAGGGTCCGAAACGAGACGAATCCAGGTTCCGAAACGAGGCGTCGGCCTCTACAGTAATGTTGGAGATGTATGAATTCACCCTGCTTGAAAACCATATGGGAACTCCACCACCTCGCAAGAAATCTCACGCATGAAATGCATTTTTTTCGTTGAAGAAAGACAGCTGATAGCTCAACATAGCTCAACATAGCTCAGCCGCGGACTTCTTTTCCACCAACATCTGCTGCAAGCCTGCCACTTGCTGCTCTGCGTCCCCAATCTTCCCCAGGCCTCGGAGGGTCCGGACCGGTCGAGCCGTTTTTCACCGGTCAGCGCCATGTAATGTGGAATCCCCATGAATCCCCTAATTTGAACTGAACAACCTCTTCAAATCCTGATTGTCATATGATGTGACTCACTAATCAACAGTCTACATCATCTTCGAAAGGGATGGCTGTCCTCTTTCCATGCCTTAGCTTCGTCACGCTTGCGCTGGGGTCTCAACCCACACTGTAGCGGTGTTGAAGCGTCCCAACCTGCGCGACGCTTCAGTGACCGTCCCTGAGCTGAGAACCGCCCTCCACATGTCCAGGCGTTGAGGCTATATATAGTATAGGTAGGCCACTCAGGACACCAGGGTGTCTATTGATAGCCTCTTAGAGGTTAAGAGGTGTCCATTATCCACCCCTTGTGGGTCCTAGTATGGGCGTTTGGTTTTACGGATTCTTTCGCTCAGCGGCACAAGGTTTGGCCGGAATAGCCAGCTGAAGTGTTCCAACGGATGGCTGTGTCACATGGAATCAACTTTTAAGATTCATCTGAAACAACATGTCTTGGAACCCACGAGGTTGAAAACCGATTCCAACCTCAAGCTGCTTCAGAAATTGACCTCCCTCTTCAAACGGCATCCCCCCCCCTGCCCCCCCCAAAAAAAACCCCCCCCCAAACGGGGGTATATATATGTACCCCTCTCTCGTCACCGACACGGGCCCCCCAACAACCGACCGGCGCCGGGTCGATCATCGCGGCACCATCCCGTGTCGAACCTGGTTCCTCTTGTCAGCCAAGATGGCCACGAAGCTGGTGAGGAGCTCCAAGAAGGAGGTCGGAGTCACCTGGGTCGATCGAAGCTAAGCTGGCTTCGGGCCATTATGGCCATTTTGTGCCGGGGATCTGCACAATCTGCATAAGCAGGGTCCCAAAAAAAACATCCACAGAAAAATGATATCCAAAAATATTCAATTATGCCTTTTATAGCATCCAGCGGACATCTTTTATAGCATCCAGCATGTCACAGGGCTTCTGGTAGCGTCCGACATCGATTTCTGGGCACTTTCATCCCTCCTAAGTGTCCGACATAGACATGGCGCCCGGTGGCTTGCAGGAACTTCTTGGACGAGCTCTCCACGCTCTGATGAATGGTCTGGAACCTCGGAGGCGACCAGCCAGTTCGGCGCCCGACCGGAAGACCGAGACCTCTCAAGTCAATTCACCACAAGTGACCACAAGTGATGCTTTGTGTATTACATGCAGGCGCTGCGCGTGACCGCTCTGCGCATGAGAATGCATGAACGCTTTGTGTATACAAAAAGGCTTATTTGACAGTGCAAAAGCCTTTGTGGCTTAAGGACCGCGTTGGCCACTTGAAAACCAATGAAAACGTCACTGTGAATTTGAAGAACCTGCCCTCCCTGTAGCAAATGATGGAAGTGGAACATGTTTTCCAGAACTTCGCCTTGGCTCTCAGTTCCCATCTCCACCTCTCAGTTGCGATCGCGCAACCGGTCGTTCGTCCTCTCATCCCGAACCATCTCCGAACCTTCCCCGCGAACGAACCGTCGGATCCGGTGTCCGGGGCCCCGGGCATCTTCAAGGCACCTTCCAGGTTTGGTAGCTCCACGTTCTGGCCAGTGATCTGCTGCTTGGCCACGCTGTACAAGGCTTCTGCTGGCCACTCGTGGAACCTGGTTTTTGGAGGTCCAGTCTGGACAAGGTGAAGTCTGTCAGGAATTGAGTGAAGAAGGTGAAGAACAGGGGAAACTGAAACAGGCGCAATGAGGACAAAGTTCACTTTCAGTCTGATTGATAGAAAGCAAAGTCTATATGATCTTTCATTAAACTGTTCATCCAAACTTGCATCTGACCAGGGGTGAATGCTGTACATATGGGTCATATGGGTGCTTTTTCTCCTCCAAATCCACGATGTACTCTGGCAACCGACCCGACTAGGAGCTCTCTCTCCGGTCTAGATGAGGTCCCAGCCAATCGATGGTACAGCAGTTCACCAGCGATGGAAAGCTTCCTTGACAGCGCTCGCGTGGCGCGCTCGATGTTGGATGTCTTATGCAAACACGACTAATGGGACTGTCATATTTAGCTACATTGGGGTGGTTTGAGGGGTCAATGTAGGCCTTATATGGCAGTCCCATGGAGTATCTGGGAAAGGTTCCAGGGCATTCGCTTAAGGTGACGGGTCACGAAGACGGGCTTTCGGGCCACGGTTGGTCAGTTTCGGTCCCGTCCCAGTCTGTGACCGCTACTTCGACCGTCCCAGTTCACCGTCCTTCGTTGCCAAGAAATCCCCTACTTCAGGGCTGGGCTTCGATAGAATGGCGATGGTTCCCAAGCACTGCATAGCCTCATGGTATGGAATAGTGACACACATTTACCCATGGTTCGCCCATTTATGACCTATGTCTCCAAACTGGACAGAAATGACCCGACCCTATAAGATCTTTAAGAATAAGTGGATAGGAATCAGGAATGTTTTTCCCATCGCATCCTGTAATGAGTGGCAGCCGAGGTATCGGTTGAAGTGGAGAGTGGAATCATTTTTTCTGAGTTGGGTGAGGAGTGTAGTGGTAGTTGTGAGGTGTAATATGGAGCAACAAAACTATACAAAACTTCTTCCTGTCCCCAATGCTTCAGGGGGCTCATGACTGAAGTACGGAAGTCTTGTCGGATGATGGCGGATACACACTACACATGTGCAACGCGACTCTGAAAATCATCGTCAAGAGTCGAGGATCCCTAGTGCTTGCTTTCTTCAAAAGGAACCAAATGAGTTAGAAACAAGGATGAGCATGCAGCATGCTCGCGAGTTCACATGGAGGACTCCATGTGTCTCCACTGGGACCTAGCAGCCGATTGGATGTGTCTCTGTGTCTCCACTTCGTCTGATTGGATGTGCTTTGGTGCACGGAACACGCACGGAACCGGAAGAAATTCAAATGAATGCCCAGGTCACCCTGCAAAAGGGAACAAGCAACAAGTAGCAAAACATGCATAGCAAAAACCATGATGGACTAGTAAGACATACTATGCAGCATTGAAGGTTGACTGCCTTTTGTTGACATTAGGCTCGGTGTCCCAAGCCCTGTTTCTCCGTGTTGAGTTTTTAGGAACTCTTCCATGGTATTGGCGGACATCCTTTTTTGGGGCGATCCTGCCAAAGATTCGTCACAAACTGGCCGAGCAAGGCAGCGTTACACCGACGCGTCAGCCTGGTGCCAAACGCTTGGTGTCATCCGCCGTGGCAAGTCAAGACAAATTAGCTCCCCTGCACCTCACGTGCAGGGAAACTTAGGGCAGTCATCTAGATGTATAGGGCTCTGAAGTAATCCGAAATACATCGAAATACACTGCTGAAACGTTCGATGATCTCTTAGGACGTGTTCCAATGCGAGCCCCCGTTGGTCTGAAGCTGGCTACTAGCTGAAGGTTCGTCACAGACTGGCCGAGCAAGGCGGCGTTACACCAACGCGTCAGCCTGGTGCCAAACGCTTGGTGGCATCTGCCGTGCCAAGTCAAAACGAACTAGCTCCCCCTGCACCTCACATGCAGCAAAAGCTCGCAGGGAAGCTTAGCGCAATCACGTGCATGATAAGGCCCTTGGGTCGTCAAGTGACCGCTAAGGCTGCTAAGGCCAAGGCCAAATCTTTTTCAGCACAGCAGGACTGTCAAGATCTGCCTGGAGATGGCATTTCTCTTGCGGAGGTCGATACAGTATCAGGTGATACCTAGTCCTCTCCCAATCTGCTCTTCGCCTACCTTCACTGGAGAATGATCGACCAATTCCTGCAATACCTGCGATGGAACGCGCATTCAAAACTGTCATGTTCCTTCTTCCCGCTCGTTCCCCGGCCCAGCCTGGTCTTTGGTTTGCACCAGTCATGTGGATTGGAGGGTCATGTGGGAAGGCCTCCAGCGATCTCGTCTGGTCAATGAAGTCCCACCTAGTCTGGTGCAGATCAAAGGAGAATAACATAAGAGCTGACTCACTGCAACCCTCCAATCAATACAGTTTCTGGTTTTCGCAGTGAGAGAGCGCGTAGTTTCTGAAGCCACAGTCATCATGGGATGTCATAGGCTCATCATGGTGGGTTGAAAAAGAGAATTACACAAATATGCATGGCGCCAAACAATGACACTTCCTCCAATGGACATGGAAATGGAACATGGCTTCTTTGGAATACGTGTTTAATACGTTTTATATTACTAGAGGGGGTTCGACTTCCACGACTGTTTCAGGGAGGGTAATTAGCTAAAACACGTCACAAGAAGATCTCAAGATCGCCACGTCACGTATATCTCCCAGGTCGGCGATTCGCCACTGGGGAGCACGTTGGCAGATCATCCAGTTCGTCGTCCGGAGAAAACTGCCAACTGCCGCGATCACACTGCGCTTCGGGCTTCACAGTGGCTGGAATGTTTAAATCAGCAATCGGCATGGCGTTGGGCCGATGCGCGTGCAGCCTCTAAGCCTCTCTTTTGCCACTCCACTTGGTGATGAGGCTTGATCCAGCAAACATCGGCATTGCACTGAACGAATCGCAGCCCGAGACTTGGGCTGGGAATTTCGGGACAAAGAGAGCAAGACTTGCAAGAGAGAACTTGCACATCTTGATGTTTGTACTCATTCACTGATGCATGCATTCTGACAACATCGAATCCGAAACGGTGGAAAACCACAAGAAAGTGGCGTTGATGCTCAAAACATCTAGACCTTGCTGATAGTACCTGCTTGGACTTGGAAGCCACGCTCTGTCTCTAAAACAGTCCACCTTCTTTGTCAACAGACATACGCTCTTTCTCCCTCCCTCCAACTAGAAGAGGTCACCACTGGTAGAACACCACTGCAGGGATGGATTGCACCCGAGGCTCGAAGACGGTTCCGGAAGCTGTCGCCCACTGGTGAGAAGGCCAAGGTCACATGGACGTTCTTCTTCACACGGCCTCAGCGGCGAGTGGAGCCGTGCAGAAGGCGCGCGTAGAGCAAAGCGCCTCCAAGACCGGTGGGATTTGGGGGGAGCTAAGACACTGTTAGTTCATAGCCCAAGAAAGCACACAGCTGGGTCCTGGGTTAGAGTAGTTATGATTGAAAGTCTTAGTCTTACAGTGAATATGAGGTCAACTGGACAATCTGAGCAAGTTTACCGTTCTGCAAGCTCAGAAAAAAAGCTGTGTTGTTTATCTTTGGGGCTTGGCAGCACCAACTATGCACATGCATCCGTTGTTGGAGAGGGAGCAGCATGCAGCAGCTTGTGATACCTATTGATAGACCATACATGCATGAAATAGATTCTTCAAAAAGACACACATACATTACATTACAATACATTAAATAGGATTCTTCCGTTATATATATATATATAAAAATCTAACATGAAAACACGGAGGAATCCAAACTTGGGGTCGAACATCTGAAAAGAACCAAGGCTGCCATGCAGGATGCTGAGTTCACGGCTGAGATAGGCACTGAAGAGGTTCGCCTTTGTGGGTTGCATGCCCATTGACCTTGGAGTCTTTCAGTTGGCGCACGGATAGTCCACCACACATACTGGTTTTTGCCTCAAGTGTTCTGCCTTACTATACTATACTTTATATGCTGACACTGTTTCGCTGTACAATGATTGAGCTTCTTCCTCCGACGTCGTGCTATATATATATATATATGTTTAAATACTGCATAAATAGTGTATATCCCAGGCAAAGTGAGATGGTGTAGTTTGTGCATAGACTTAGGCTCTGACACACGTTCTGTAAATTTGGTATCACCCGAGTGGGAACCTCCACATCCTGTTTGTCTTGAAGAAGAACAATCTGAAGAAAATTGGTGAAGCCTCCAACCATTGAAGCGCCCATGCAGAATCACAAGGACACCTGAATTATTTACAAACGGACTATGTCTATGGAGCCAATGTATTGGACTTGCATCTGAAAACTATCTATTCAAAAACCTCTCTAGGAGAACCATTTTCGTGGACGCTCACCTCAACTTGGGTCTGATCATGTCAAGTTGGGGTCCCAAAACCCTCGGTGGCAAGCACGGGGCTCTTCAATTTCACTACCAGTCGACTCCACCTGGGGCTGGACTTCGTGTTGACCAACTCTTCACTCTCTTTCCCAGTCCCCCCCTCTATGGGATTTGTGTGGAGTCTCCTGGAAGTTCTTACACAATCTCTCTGAGACCCAGCTTCCTCTTGGAGATGTGGGGCTCCAGCTCCCCAAAAACATTGAACCCCAAAACTCCCTAATTAACTTCCCCCATCTCCGCTGGGCTCCCCGGTCTGACAAAGCTGTCGACAGGAGGAGGAGATGGCCTCGAAGTCTTCATTGGCATAAAGGTTTGGCCTCAGCCGTTTTCTGATCCACTCGGGAGGCCAAATCACCGACGGCCAGGTCTCGTCACAAAAACCAGTGTAACACTGGAGTTCGGTCAAAAGGGGTTGGGATTCCTGGTGTGGTCTTCGGAAAAGGATTGCGTTTTCCGCAAATTGGAAACTGGCGGGTGTCTCCCTGAGGCTCCCGGCTCCCGCTTACAAAAAATACAGTGGTTTCAGAGCAGATGGCGCACGCCCCAAGAATCCGCAATATTTTCTTGGATGGGGGTCCAAAATGGTCCAAATATGCCGCCTGTTTGGGGATGGTGCCATCTACTCTCAATCCACTACGCGGGTCCAATGCACCCTCCAACGTGCGACTGCTTTGGAGCGAGCTGAACACACAGCGGCCTTTCCCACGACCTCCTCCACTTTGAGGATGGCATCAGCCCTCAACAAGACATAGCACTACTACCACTACCACTGCCACTGCCACTGCCACTACCTCTACCACTACTACTACTACTCCTCCTACTACTACGACTACCACTACCGCTACCGCTACCGCTACGGCTACTGCTACTGCTCCTGCTCCTGCTCCTGCTGCTGCTGCTCCTGCTACTGCTGCTCCTGCTGCTACTACTCCTCTTGCTGCTGCTACTAATCCTACTCCTACTCCTACTCCTCCTCGTCCTACTCCTACTCCTACTTCTACTCCTATTCCTATACTCCTACTACTACTGCTACTGCTACTGCTACCGACTACTACTCCTCCTCCTGCTGCTGCTGCAGCTACCTCACAAAGCATAGAAGTGACATTATGTCCAGCTTCACGTCCACACCCAACGGAGCCCATCTTCAATCAGCGCAATCCGCGCCATCCGCCAGGCTGCACATCTCCGCTGTTGAGCACGTTGTTAATCGCCTTGGAGCACAAAGCAACATTTTGTTTTTGAAAACATGTCTTGCGCTGCGGGACACAATGGGTGCTGGAAGTCAAGAACACATCTTGCTCTGCCAATTGATGCATCTGGACTTTCCATAGCATACTTTGGGTCTAAAACAACTGTTTTGAATTCAGTCAGAAGGTGCTTGAAGTGCGGGGCTACAAACCGACAAAGCAAATCATTTGGCAAATCATTGAGATTCATGTTGATGATCTCATTTAATATGATTAAAAGAAATCTCGTCGACCATCGTCGATTGCTTGAGTTCGGTGGTTTGGTGGCTGAATGCACTAGCTGTCTGCTTGACCATTGTTACCTATTGCCTATTGTTGCTATAATTTTCCAAACCTTGGGAAGCAAGTGGATCTCCAGCCTCCACAAAGTCCTCTTTCACGATCTGAGTGTCGCAGAAAAGGAAGATCTGAACCTCTCGACGGGATATATTTTTTGTGCAAGTCATGCATAAGCCACAAGGGATTGGATCAAAGCAGTAGGTTGACTGCCGTGTGCTCACAATGTAAAGGCGGAGTAGGTTTTTGGGTTCCAAGAACAACTCTTCGAACCACACCCTACCCAAACTGTGTGGAAAGCTCTATCATGCAAACGTGAATCTCAAAATGAAATCAGCGCCGGTGCCTACCATCTAGGTGCTCACCCCACGCGGGCTACATTCTGCTTTCTTTTTTTGCAAGATGGTCAAAATACTGGCAGGTGCGCATGGTCTGCTGCCTCAAGCATGCACCGGTGCTTAACCAGAAACGCAATTGGATGCGCCAAAAGGCCGGTGATCATGTCTGACTCATTCGACGACCCGCTTCGAAGTCCTTGTCTTCTACCCCACACTTCATGAGGCATCGCTTCACCTCAACGACGCGGGAGCCGACGCAAGACCGGCTATGAAGGGTCCGGTCGCAAGGAGGTGCGGACCGTCGAAGCGGAGTCAGACGGACCCAGAGCCGCTTCTTGAAAGGATGCCCCACCACAAAACCCTCTGGATCACCGTAGGTGGATCCGGGGGATAACCTCATGTAATAACTGTTATGAAGTTGGCTGACGCCCCAGAATCACCCTCTTCGTTTGACAACGTCGAGTTGACCAAGCAAGCCGCCCCATGCCTTAGCCAAGACTTTGTCAAGCGCGTGCTGGACTTACCTGGGTCCTCCCCGCAAAAATTAGTAAGGTCAGCAGAAGTCATCATGGCCAGCGGCCAGCAAGTCTATTTTCCTGGGTTCCAGGAACCTCTTTAACAATGCAACTTGGCTGTGAAGAACATTCCAAGAGAGCTGCACCTTCAATAGCATCAGGAGGTAGCTGGAACACGTGCTTTATAGGGCATGCCACTATGTATTTTTTGAATTGGCTTCCTTCACATTCCAAACGCAATGACCAAATAATGCCGCCTGACACAATCAAAGAAGGAATATGCCACATATAACAACCCCAAAACGCACACAATACAACCAGTGCTTCGTGTGCTCGGCCCAACGTAGTGCTTCGCTTTGTAGAGCACCGCCCGGGTCGGCGCAGTACGGCAGGGTCGTTCGCTGGGGAGACCCAACGTCATCTTTGAACTCGGTCATGCCGTAGCCTGACAAACCCGCCGTAGGACATGTGACATGTTAGATAATGTCAATGATTCGCATCACAGATGTAGAGTAGCAGAGTGGCCCATTGTCTGAGAAGAAGATGTTGAACCAAAGATAACAAAATGCGAGTCCAAGTGAATGAAATCCTAGAACATGCCCAGTCCTAAACCTCAACCGTTTGATAACCTGCCGGATTGTATGGAAGTATAATGAAGTATATATATATATACCAGTTCCAGGGGTGTAGGGCTGCTGTGCAGGTGCAGGAATGTGCAGGTGCAGGTTCCAGCATGTTCCAGCACTTCCAACACTTCCAGCTCACATCCCGCGCCTACTTCCGGGGCCGGCCCCACCACGTCCCTCACCCACCTTTAGCCACTTCGATCTGAAAGCAATCAGCTTCATTCATGTACGCAGACCTCAGGCACCCATGGGTCGCAGCGGCTGCATCGCGGGAAGGAGTGGTCGTGAGCGTTCCAGTGAGGGGTCGTGAGCGTGTTCCAGGCGTTCGGTCGTTCCAGGCGTTCGGTGCCATGTGAAACACATGGCACATCACTTGCGAAACCGCCTCCTCCTTCCATGCTTCCTTACATCCAGAGGCCACGTCTGCATGGGAACACAGGAAGCATGGGAACAGCATCAAGCCCTCAAACCAATTCCTAGTGAACAAAGGATCTTCTGAGTCCAGTGAAGCCCACTGCTCTCCCATCCGCACCCTGCAGCTGAACAAAATGATCAGGGCAGTCTACAATGAGAGTCACAAGGAACATGTTGACCTGCTATGCTCTTGGGGGGCCACCAGAACATCACATAGAACACTGGTCCCTTTAGGGTGCGCAGCAGCACCTGTGGCAAACAACATGCGGCCATCTACACAGGTCTACGATAGATGACTGCTTTACAGTATATAATCTTTCTTAGATTCCCCGGAAACCAATCCCAAAACAGGCTAAAGGTTGGCCACTGAGTAGGATAATCTACTTTCTTCCATCTCTTTTCCCAGGTGCTACGGGATTTCTTCAACGGGCTGACTGGGTGCGTTTCGACTCCTCAGCCGCCGGCAGTCGAGTGAGACTCTGTCGGCCACTGCCACCTGCCGAAATGGCTTCCAGCTGAGAGCGAAAGGAACTCGACAGTGGTTGACTGTACCAGGAGGCGCCCCTCAATTTCCTGGGTTAGCTTATTGTTAGATTGAGATCCTCAACCAAACAATTCTGGGGCATCCCTGTGAGGTGACAAAAAGAATCTTTACCCATTCTTCTACCCATGTCCAGCTCTTCAAACCACTGGCGGGTCACTGAAAAATTGTCTCTTGGATCCCCCCCGGCCCAAAAAGCCAACTCCGACTTGGCGGTAGCGGCGCCAACCCGAATCCGTCGATCACCCGCCTACACCCAAGAGCAAGACGTTGCCGTTGGGCTGGCTAAGGACGCGACAGATCCGCGCCTGCTGCGGAGCCGGATCTTCGATCGCCGTGCTGGAGCAGGATCCGTGCTTCGGGGAGCCGACCAAAGTCCCGAGCTGAGCAGGTGAGCTTGGATCCTCTCAGGATTTCTTACTTCAAAGAGTGTAGTGAATCGTAAGATCTGTGAAGGTGAAGAGCTCTGTTCCGTTCTAAACTCTTCAAGTATCACCGCTGTTGGTCGTCTCCTTGCGCGGGGGCATGACACGGCGAGTCACAGCACATGATCCCGTAGAATAAACAAATCTCTTGAAGCAATATATTCTTAACATTCCAAAGCCGAGTGATCTTTACCACATCCTTTCATCTCTGCCCCTGCCACGGCCCTTTTCTCCCTAATCCTAGGCTTGGATAGTCAGCACTGGGCGGCCCAAGTTTGGCACATGTGCAGCCAAGGCACACAATGCTCGCAAGCGTCCAGAAACATCACCAAGGGCATGATGATCGAAAAGACCTTCGCAGCTCTCGGGTTTATATAGCACGGTGTACAGCTGTAGAGCTGCGAAGTGGGACATGACAATCCACAATGGGACAAAACTGTTGATTGTAACTTGGACCCCCCCAGGGTGTTCTGAGCTTTACCCAATCCAAGTCATGAGGGGGGCTATAGTGTTTATCAAGAGTCCACATCCTCTTTGGAACTTGACCTGACCCTTTTGGCGATCTGGCGGTCAACCACCCATGAACTCTTGAATAGGCCAGGCCGGAAGTGCTCCGCTAGGCCGTGGATTTCGCCCGATCTGCCCGTTGGATCTATCTGCAGCGCCTGATTGTACTCATCCAGGTATTCTTCGATGGCCGTCTTCATCGCCTTAACCCCAAAAAAGTGAGAGAGTAGTTGGATCTAGTTGGCAACAACGTTGTTTGCAGACCCACCTGCAATGGTTTGGTAGCTTCCTTAGACAAGGGAGTTCTGGATTTGATGAGCCCCACTGAAACAGTGAGCTTTTAGGGCATGCTGCGCAAGGAGGTAGCTAAATATATACATGGTAGGCAATTCGCAACATGATGTCAACACCAGAATGGATGAGGGAAACAGTGGTCGTAACATCTATAGGCTTCTACTCAGCAAGCCTCAAATCTATGAAAGGATCATGTAGATGTAAGTGCTCTTTCAGGCAACATCTGCAAACAGGCAGTGGTCATCCAAGACGATGGATTTGTTCAACAAAAGCTGTGATTTTCCTAACTAGTAAAACAAGATTGAAATACATGGTTAGATTGAAATACATACGTCTATCAAGTGAGAAATGGATCGTCTGCCAAGCACTCTGCCAACCGCCGATCTGGCGCCCCAGAAGAAACCGGCGCACAGAAATCGCCTGCATATCCGTGACCTCATCATAGGTGCGATTCTCCACCTTCCCACGACGTTATCCGGACGGTGCGGACGTGGTGTTTTTCAGGTGACCACCGAAAGACGACCAGCTGAAGCAAAAATCAGCAAACAACAAATCCAGATCATTCCATGTAACCTCATGTGATAATCAAACAAATATAAATAAATATATATATATATATATGGCCTACGTTTGTTGCTTTTTTTCGCTGGTGAATGTGATCAAAGTTTGCTTACATGGATCGTCTGGGCATGTCTGGCAAACCAACAAAGCAATGTTCACCCAGCAAGTGCCGGCCAAAAGGGTGGATTCCTCAAGCTCGGGCTGCGGGAGTTGCGCGTCCAGACGAACAGGCAGGTTTTCGCGGGTGCCGTCGGGGGGGTTCAGTGCCGAACGTGCAGAGTAGCACAAAAGGGGCTGAGAGGGAACTAATATGGGATGTTACCCCATGACTCATGACCCCATATAGTATGGCGCATGCATGCATATATCTGTGGGGTGGTTTCAGGGGTCAATGTAGGTTAATGTTCCATACATGGAGTTTTTGGGTTACAGAATGCCAAGCAATGCTACTCTCCAGCTTCCATTCTGCAAAGCTGACCCTCTTAGTATCCCCATCTCCCAGATCTTGCCAGGTTCTGGACACTTTTCTGCACAGAACTTGGGTTCGATCTGTTGGGTGTCATACTTCTGGTTCCAAATCAAAAGCTCCTGACTTACCATGTTCCGAGGTTGCTGTAGCTGGATGTAGCTGGCCAATGGCTCCTCTACTGGCTGGCCGTGTGATTCACTAGGCCTCGGTTTCATGCTGAAGCCCACAGTGCCGGGAGCACCTCCTGGGTCAAGAACGAGGCGAAAATGAGGCGCTCCTGGTCAGCAGGCGTTGGTGATCGCAGCAAGGGCGGCAACATGTGTCAGGATCATTGGCCAAACGTGAAACTGTAGAATTGTGATGTTAATGAAGTTCACAACATATTCATGGATTGGAGTGATTAATTGATGGTAGAACACCAACCTTTCCATGGTTAAACATCTCCCACTCTTAGACCCTTCAACATTGCCACTGGCAGCTGACCACATACTACACAACATGTCTGACACTCGGCCGATAAGGAATGACTGTGGCCTCATAACTGCAAAGCAAGATGTAAGGAATGCCGGAAACTTTCCCAGATTTGATGTGAAGGGAAGCAGGGACTCGGCTCTCCCTCTTTGCTTTATGCCCCAAGCGGGTCAAGTATGGAATGTATGATAAATGTCTTCTGTCTCTATAATATATATATATGTGTGTGTGTGTTACAGTGACAATGTTCCCATTGTCTTTCACAAAATGCCTATTCTATCCGGGGAATGACTACAGCAGTCATTCAAAACACAAATGAGCATCCAGTACGGCATGAGAGGTTCACCCTGGTGCCAATCCCCAATACAATTCAATACAAATCATATTCACTCAAAAACAAACACGACATACACACACATACAATTATCTTGTAAATGAAACTTAGTGGACCACAGTTTCTTGGGATTCTCTGCTACAAAGTAGGAACCTTTGCATCTAGAAATGCATAGAAATGCGCACTCCGCAGCACTGGTCTGTTTCACAGGGCTCTCTTTTCACTCAAGTCTGCTCTGATCTCTTCTTACGAGCTCTTCGGGGTCCAGATCTTTGATCTTGGGATCGAAATCCCTCTTCAGCTTGAAGCGAGTTCCGCATGTTTGACAAATGGCTGACGCGTCGGAGCAGTAGATCGACAAGCAACAGGAACCTTGGAGTTGCTTGGAGCAGCTGCAGCTGAAGGTGACTGTCATAGAAGACCCCATTTGCTTTGGACTTCCTTTTGGAGATGCTGAGATGCTTGATTGCTGGAGGACTAAGAAACACACGGAAACGCATACCAGTGCCCAATTTTGGAGCAGTTCTTCATCACCCCTCCCCCCCAACAAAGAAACATCGAAAGGGTCATTCATAACTCATAACTATGACTATAACATACACTGCCAGCGAAAGTCAAATCGTATTCTCCTGTTGGAGGAAGAAACCCGGGATATGCAAAAGAAAACTACAGAGGGAGGCCACTGTGTCTTTAGGGTGTTTGGCGTTTCCAGCTGGTGTTTTAGCTGTGTTTCTTCCATGAACGGTTAAGTCCGGTTAAGTGCCAAGGAGCAAACATGGCCTATCTCCAGCGTTTTGCCATGGCATCGGCAAACTGCCGGCAAGTGTTGCTGGTCTGGAGCGACGGCCAGTTGTTTTCGCATCACCTGGATGGCAATGCAAAGCAGGACGCTCTTCACAGGTGGGGATCCACACTCTTACTGAATCAACATAAGCGGGCTAATGAGCCATGCATAAATGATGCTCTCAAACCACGCTGAAATGCTTGAGCCAAATTCACTCCTCCCAGCCTGGCTGGCTAAGAAGTGGAACAACATGGACGCGGCTAAGACTTCAGGCGCAGCCATCTCTCCGAACTTCTCCGTGGACGAGAGTCGCACATGCTTGCCCTCCGCCAGCTTGCAGACTTGGCGCAGCAAAGACGAAGGGCATGAACCCAAAGAAAAGGAATCCACTAGAATACCCTGAGATTTCGCAGCAAAGGCCACATTCACCAAACCTGAGCTTTCTTCGATGTAATCCACTTCACTGGCTGAGGCATCGATTACAAGCACACGAGCTTGCAGTTTTTGTTGCCGCTGGGCCTGGTGTACTAAACACAGGCTACTGCTGAGCACGGCTGCTAGGCAAGCAGCCCTTGGTTCCAACTTTACTGCTGCACGCCGTGCGCCTTCCTGCGCAGCCTCCCATGCGTACACATCACAAATCTCACATAGGGGCATCACTGGAGCTGTAGCACCCAAAATTACAACCTTTTGACCAGCAGTGAGCAACATAAAGGCGCGGAGGAATAGAAGAATGCTCTCCCAAAGCTCTGGAAACAAGGCTTTGCCTTCAGCACCTGCGGCTTCCAATGTGCAAAGTCTTGGGTCCAGTGTGATCACCAGGAGTTCTGGCTCGCGTGAATGATTTCCACGTGGCCGCTTCGTCGCTGGTGCCGAAGCGAAACCGCCGCGAAAGGGCAAAGCGGCCATGGCGGCGACTGAAGAAAGTCAACGACGGCCCGTTGTTTGCTGTAGCCCCCTGTGTTGCCTAAATTGGATTGACCTCGAGCAATTCTGAAAAACAAGCAGTTAAGGTCCTTAGTTAAGGTTGGCAATAAAGGAGACAAAGAGAGTGGGAGGGGCAAATTAATGCAAACCTGGAACCCCAAACAACCAGAAACACATTGTTGTTCCAATATGGCAATCGAAATCCTTTACATAGGAAATGGTTGTTTGGGGAAACATCCATTTCTTTCTGGTTGTTTGGGGCTCCAGGAAGTAGATAGACTCTGACTGTGGAACTCTACTTGTAGACCTTGTAGCATCATGTCGCAATTGAAACGCAACGGTCTACATGGAGGATCCATCAAGGCTTGGTATGGTTTGATCACCTTCTGCTTGAAGCTCTGACATATACTCAAACGGAACCGGTGATTCTCAGAAAATGGTGTCCATGGCGAAATCAAAGACTCTTCGGACGTCTAGCACTGTGAAGAAAGCTGAAGAACTCACAGCAACCTTGACCCAGCGCATGCCGCTGGAGTTTTGACACATCTCAGAATTCGAACTCCACGACAAACGGTGATGCTCTACCAAAAGTCCGGATTTCGTTGCGAATCACTTGGTTGCGAACGGCCGTCTTGCTCACATCCTAAAAAAACCATCCATTGTGACTAGCTGACTAGCAACAGCAAACCTGGCCATAACCCGTTAACGCATCACCCCAGCACTGCCACCAGCCTTTTCAAGTTAAACGGTTTTGAAAAGGCTGGTGGGTTCAGTCTCAAAATGACCGATTGAAGGAAATTGGAACAACGAACAAAGCTCCATCTTGTGCCGAACTCCCCCCGCAACCGCCAAAATTAGAGTTGCAGTATCAATGCAGGTGTTTGATGTTTTTTGGTGAAGCATGGTGTTGCAGTGTTGCAGCACTCCATCATTGGTACTTGCCAGTGTGTTGAGCGTAGTTTGATGGCTTCTTCACCAAATGTGGTGTGGATCCACGCCTATAGACAGTACGAGCCCGCACCAAATCCAAGGAGGTAAAAAGATACATTAGCTGCAACCTGGGCCGTCACCGACTGGTCCTTGTCGAAGATCGAGCCCAAGTCCTGCGCCAAATCCTCCGGGCGATGACACGTGGAGATGTCCGTCAGAATTGGTCAACTTGCCACATCTTGCCACGAATGATTCTTGATCAAAGAAAAACTCTGGGGTTTCTCTCGAAGCAGAGCTGCAGCATTCCCAGCACAACCTTCCATTCTCGAACCCGGGTGATCGTCATGTCACACATGAACCCATGCACCTCCTCCGTCCGCTCCCTTGAAAGCCGCGTTTCCACTCAAGAACTCGCCCCACCCCCCACACCTGGCCAACGGCTGTGTCCACTTGGGTCTTCATCCATTGCAAATCCTGTTCATCCTGAGGCTCCGAGGCCGTTGGAAAGAAGTACTCCCCTGCAACATGGAACCCCAAAACCATTGGGTTGCATATAGAGGAACATGTTCTTCCACCGGTCAATTCTCAGGTTCCATGTTAGTTTGCGCGGGGGTATGTGACCATTTGTTGCCATTGTCTTGGTCTCTTGGTGCTTTTTCTTGATTCTTCTTCCCCTGCTGGACAAGGGGAAACAACACACAACATGACAGCAGCAGCGGCCACTGGACACATGTTCCTGACCTTCCTGAACCCCAAGAACCTGAGAATCTCATCCCCTCCAGTCATCTGGATGGCGCCAGAAGTCGGTCTTGACTTGGACCGCCCCCGACCCAAAACAAGAGGAACCAACCAACCAGCCAACGAGCTGCCACGCCACCGCCGCCCACCGCCCACCGCCCACCGCGGCCCACCGCATGGACCAAGGAGCGGTGAGCCGATCGCCAAAGACTCGCTGAATTTCGTGCGCCCAGCAGCGAGTCACCTGATGTGGAGAGGATCAGGAAGCTGAGGGGACATGGGTGGAAGCAGGACCACGTCATCAAAGATATTTATATAAAGGATTGTTTAAGGGATTTCATGTGTTATATATCGAAGAGTTTGAGGGTGTTTTGGATGTTTGACAGAGTTCAGCTGAAGGATGTCTCAAGAATTTTGGCTTGCCTTCTTTCCAGAAACCTTTGATAGATTCTGATAGATATGTCCTGCCCAAAGTTCAAGTGGGCTTTCAAAATGGTCTGTGAAACATCCAAGATCATATCTATATAGGACCCTCGATTCCTTGACCCTTTGGGGAGGAACACCTGAGGTAGACCACCAAACATATGCAACACTTGACTCAGAAAGTGACCCCGAATCGGTGAACCTCACAGCAATCGATTCACAAGGACCTATAAGTTTCGGTGGTCTCAAACCCCCCAAGAGCAAACACATCCTGGCAAATTGATGATCCCAATCTAGCAGCGGACTACCTCGGCAAACACACAGCGAAACATACTTACTTACTTACTTACTTACTTGTAATGCCAGGTGCATCCCAAACAGCAAACCCACGGCTGGGCCAGAAAGCGACCCCCTTTGGCCACCAAACCCTCTGTTCAGCTCTCCGTATATAACATGCGCACCCAGCACATCCAGCTCTCCGCACCGTCGGGACGTTGTTGGACTTCTTCGCTGAAAGGCTGCAAAGCCCCAAAAAGACCTGAGAGGCCAGGCAGGCCAGGCAGGCACCAGGCGCCCAAGCTGTTGATCGTCTCCGTCCGAGGCGTTGGTGAGAGCGAAGTTCGGCGCTCTCAACGGAGACTTCGGTCGTTCGCTGTGTTCGAGTCGAAAAAAACAGACCCCCCCTCCTAAAGCCTCCTTGGATGGACCAAAGCAAACCTCAAAAAAATAATCAGCCTCATGAAGCTGCAACGGTCTGGGAATGAACACTGCTCTCAAAGTTCTGCACTGCTCTGCTCTTGCTATTCTTTTGTGCCTCAGTGACCAAAAGCCCCAGGACCCACCACACTCAGTGACTGTGACCCACGGCGATTGTTAAGCCTACATAGAGTACACACAGTGAAACCCTCCTCGGTCCAACAGTAAAAACACACACGAAAAAACAGAAAACAACTAGAGATTCCCGAACAAATACGTACAGTAGTCCCCACAAATCCCCACAACATCTTACAACCACTCCACCTGCCCACCCCACCGTCACCAGCTGGATTTTGTTGTTTTAATTTGATTTTTCAACACCGCCCCAGGGCCCCTTCGGGGCCTTCCAAATGTCTCGCAAGTTGAAGAGATAGTGGGACTTGGCCGGTGTCGGCAATAGATCGTTCAAGGCCTGCCGAATGGAGCGAAGGAGACTCCTCCGAGTGTCCTCTGACTACCCAAGGAGGTCTTCCGGGAGAAGGAGTCCGTGCGAAATGGGGAGGGCTGGTGTGTGAGTGTGTTCCTTTTTTGGGGGGGTGGATGGTTCCAAAGCATTACAAACCGGAGATATCCTGAGAAAATGATGGGGATATCAACTGATATTCACTCTCTTGAATCAGCATGGAAGTGGAGTTCACTGCCTGCGTAGGTTTCGGAAAAGGGTCCAAGGGGCATTCCATCCACTTCCAGGATGATTTCAGCGAGACTATTTATGGATTATATACCAGGACCGGGACCAAAGAGGTGTCTATAAATAGCCTCTTAGAGGTGAGTCGAGGTGGCCAAAAACCACCGGGCTTGGAAGGTCCTGGTATATCATTGTCATATTGGTCGATGATCCAACTCACAGCGCCCAATCGTTGGACGCGCTTGGGCGCGCGCGCGCCCCCTTTTTTCCCATGTGCATGAACGCGCCGGCTGCTTGGCAGTCAGTGGTTGAAACAGGCAGGAATGTACACAAGAGATGCTTACAAATCAAATATGGCAGTGGCTCAACAAGGCAAGAATATTCAAGTGACAGTAGCTGCTGGTTCCGTCCAACTCTTGTACAAAACACTTTCTTAGCCCGGAGCCCTCGATGGATTGTTCGACCAATGAATAATGTGTTTGCGGTCATAGTGGCCAAAAGCAAAAGAACAAAGCCAAGCTGTCAGCTCTTGTGGATAACTAGAAAGTCAACAACTCCAATAATGGTCTGATTCAACCACTGGCGCACACACCTGGATTAGCTGGTGGCTCGCTGTGGCAGCAACTCACATGTCAGGAGTGAGACATTCGAAGAAGGCCTTGGTTACCATCCATGACGTGACAAAGAGATAATATAGGTTAATATACATTGTTACGACATATCAAATATTATTGAAATTGTGTATATAGATAAATTGTAAATAGTATAGATAGATAAAGCATGATAGAATCATGTATATACAGTAGAACCAAAACGAGAGAAACAAACACAGTACGCAGCTCGCGCGGGGAACATGCTGGTAAATCACTGCAGAAATTCGGAAAGAATATGCACGGATTGCATCCCTTGACGGCCTAAGCCGCACACGGCTCGTCCCCGAGCGGAGGGCTGGCCCCGAAGCTATTGCCTCAGTCGCTTGGGCTTGGTCGCTCAAGGTCTCTAGCCAACCGCAGTTTGGCATGAGCCACAAATACAGGGTCAGCCGGCAAGCTAGCTCAATCTGGAGGAAAATTAGCCACAAGTGCGGGGTCAATGCCGCCCTGAGCTACATCGAGAAGGCACAAACTAAAAGTGATCCACCTTGCCAGGCTGCCACATCAAACGTCTCAACTTCCCCTCTGGTGAACAAATCCTCACAGATGCAGAACAGAATATACTGCCCCTGCCAAGCTTGGGCTTAAAAAAAATAAACCTGGCTACACGATCAAGTCAACTGTTCTCAAGTGGCTGGGTAGGGAGAGAGAGTGGTGTTGAGATATTGTTTCAGGATATCCATCGTGGCCCATCTTACCGGGTTACATGAGTTACCACCTGTCGTGTGACCGGTCTGATTCCCTGACCCTCACCGTCGTCCCGTCGTCCCATGTTTTTCCTCGTCACTTGTGACATGTTGTTCAGTCCAAGTGATGGTGCTAGGAGGGTATTGGCGATGTTTGGCTTTTTGATGCTTTTGCATGGCAAACAACTGGGCAAACAATCTTAGGAAAATCAGTGGGCCAGTGTCTTGGGCCTCCATGGCTGGGCTTTCGGGCAGCTTCTTGACGAAATCAAAGGTGTCGATCTCTGCCAAAATCTTGTTGAGATCATAGGACTTGGGACTGGCATCATCCTCAGCGGTTGCCAAGCTTTGCTAGTTCCTCCCAGCGTGGAAAGCTCCATATCCACAAGTGTACGGTTTATCTCGCGTGAGACAAAGTTGACTCACACCAAGTTTCCCGTGATGGTCTTTGCATCAGGAGCTCCTTGAATTCCTTCTCCTCGCAGAACGTTCGAAGTGCTTGGCACATTTGGAAGTGTCTAAATGGGTGGCCGCCCCAAGAAAACGGTGAAAAAAAACAACATCACCCCTGGCCCTGAGAACAACACGTAAATGTCCATCCTCAAACCAAGAAGGGGAGTGGGTATTGCAACAGCCGTGTGCGTGGTGTGTTCAATTCTGGAACCAACATATGAGATGTCCTTCAAGACCATTCGAGTCGGGCGGGGCCAGAATCCTCCAAAGAGGTCTTGCCGCCTTGCCTTGTTGGGCCCTAACAGATCTCAATTGGTGACCTGCGGGGGACGAGGCTCGTGGCAAACAAAAACCGTCTCGTCGAAAAAAAGGCGATCGAAGGCAGCCGATAACGGCGAACACAGCCATTGACGCCGGTCTTTGTAACACTGCAACTCACTCACATGGAAGGGGAGGGCATGGCCTCAGGAAGAACATGTGTTGATTCTTGTGGTGTTGGACGAGCCCGTGTCGAGTCGACCTATGTCAGATGTGGGGGTGGGTCCCAACGCCCTGGTGCCCTGGTCCGTTGCGAAAGACCTCCCAACTAGTGAAGAAAAGTATCCTGGTTTTGACCCACAGCCACATCTAAGAAACCATCGAACGTCAGAAAGCCTTACGAGTGTTGCTGGTCCTTGATCGCCTCTTCGACGCGCTGCTGAAGAGCCAAAAGCAGGCTATCCGAGCTAACATCCACGCTGAGCAAAAGGTCCAAAAAACGATTGAGGTGCCTGAGTAGAGGATGGTGAGAAGAAGCGAGGATGGTGAGATACCGGAAGTGCTGGGTGGAGGTCAGACTGATTCCCTACTCGCGAAATTCTTCCAAGCCATGTCTAGAAGCAGTCCCTATCTGCCCAACCTAAGCCTTGCCTTCAATTGAATCCCCCAAACCCTTCAGCCGCCGCCCCACCAACCACCGACCGACGGCTGCACCCCAAACGGACGCAGCGGGGCGCCACCCCAACCCCGCCCCGATCCAAACACGACAAACCACCGCCCCGACCCAAACGACCCGCGGACGCACGACACCGCCCCAAGTGACAAATGGGTCTTCCATCGCTGCAAATCCTCTTCCGAGAGCAGTGCCTCGGCTCATCCGGAGCCGTCCGGTCCGAGGCAGTCCGCGGGTCCATCGATGGAAGGCCTGCCGGAAACTGCCCACCAAATGGGAGGAATGCACGAAGTAGATCCAACTATCCCATGGTGCTTCAAGAAGACGCCATCATTTTCCATGGAGAAACACAGATTTCACAAAGCATCAGGTTGCAGTTGCCCTGGCATGCAGTTGTACAGCCTGTAAATGGAGAAAAGATGAGAAAAGCATGAAATAGCATGAAATGAGTGCAACGATTAAAATGCTATTCATTGCAATCGTCAAGGGGGTCCAACAATCTCCAAACACCCTTCAAGCCCCAAAAGACTTCCACTGCTGAACGTGGGCCTTCTCTCTCTCTCTCTCTTCAAATGATTAGTTCCGTAAAACCTCAGCGAACCCTCGAACCCACTGGCCATGAAAAGAACTAAAAGTCATCCAAAGCGTCTAAGCATCGTAGCACATCTCGTATTCGATCAATGCCATTCCTGCGAAAACCCGCATTCCCACGGGAATTCGGTGGGATTCGACCGTGCGGTCGGCGCGGTCGAACATCTCAGTGTTTCAATTGGCGACGTGCTCAGCTGCTCCAGGGGCTAGTTGAGGGAATGTACTGAATGCCCTAAAGGCCCTATATAAATTTTGTATATAATGGGTTGAGAGTCGAGAGTGAGTAGATGGCACAATATGCACAATCCCAAACAATGGTCTAAATGAGTTGTGCCATCTGGCGCCATCTGCTCTGATGAATGTAATTGATGCTGCTTGCAGCTGAAAAGGGCTGGACAGTATGTCTTACAGGATGCCTCAATTGGCACCCATCAATCCATCTGATGAAAGCACTCCACAGAGTTTGGGCCGGTCCCTGACTTGAGATGTCACTGAAGGTGGTGCATCCTGGGTCTTGTGGGATTAAATAAATACCTTAAATATCCTGAACTTACAATTGCACACAAGTACACGCACAAACACAGGATCCCCTCCACGGCTCCTGGCCACCATGGGGGCCAGCAGGGCCTTGGGGCCACAGCGGTCGGCGATCTTCACCAAGAGCCGAAGGATCCGCCCAAAGGTGTGCGCCTTGCGGAGGCGTGCTGGGCGCCGTGCCGTCTGAGGTCTGTGCGTGGATGAATTGGTTGGGTCGCCCCGGTCGCCCTGGTCAGGAGAGGGTGCGGTTTTGATATGGCTTTGATGCGAAACATGCGCGTGCCCATGCATGCATTGGACCAAACGGTGGCGCATGGCGCACGGCAGCAGTGAAACAAAGGACACATATCATGGTCTCGAACCAAGGGCAAGGCAAACGTGTGACTTGCTTTAAAGTTTCTCAAAGGAGCCCAATCAAATGGAGAGGTTCAAAGCCACTACAGTACATATGGCAGTGGGCATGTGGGGAGGCTGCTTTCTTGTTCTTTATTTTGCTGCCTGCTGAGTTTCCAAAATTCGCTGGGCCTTGCCACAAGCCTCCAGGAGTTACTGCCAAAGCATCTTTAGTCAACACTGGCTGCTAAACATGGACGAAGGGGTCCTCTGTTGGCGTCCCGGCGCCTGGGACTGCGGACCATCCTGAGGGAAGTCCACCAAGGCCTCGATTGCGGCGATTCAGGTGGACGTTTTCGGGCGTCCCAAGCCATCCATGCATGGAATATACCTACATCGACATCGACCCAAAAACATCTCAAAAACACCAATATGCAAGAAAAATCAAGAAAATAATGGGGCATATGATGCAGCTCCTCTCAAAAGTGACCTTGTTGAAGTCCCTCAGTGATCTTTTCCAGGCCTGTTTGTGACCTCAAACCAGGGGATCAAAAGATCACTTTGAAGTTTGAAAACACAGGTTCCAGTCCCATATTTCATAGAATAGATCGACCCACACGACGACACTCTTCACTGGACTAGAGCTACCACTCGCCACCCCCACTCACGCATTCCCTCACTCTTTGGCGTGGGCGTTCCCTCCTCAGCCTCTGCTGGTCTACCGTGGCTTCAACCGCATGCAAACGCCCCAGTGCAGCCGGCCTGGATGAGCTCCTCCACTGGGTTCAGCCGCGCGCGCTTCTTGGCCTCCTGCTCTGAGACGTGGAGCTTCTGCGCCGAGACCTGATTCCAATGGGTGAGACGTGGAGCCCACAGGTTGTACTATACTTACTGGTGAGTTAGGACTTTGAGTATCTAAAGAGTTAGGAGTTCTGCAGCACAAGGGCTAACTCATATCAAAAGCTTTGAGAGCCGGTCTTTGTTAACAAGTGTCAATTCGGTTTGGAGCACAACGTGGAACAATACGGCAATAGTGTTTGGAAAGCACTACGCCACCATCAGTCCTGGCCAACCATATAGCACCCACATCAGTCCCCTCCCCAGGCGCCATGACCACCATCACTCACCAAGGCGCCACCAAAGCTTCAAGGGGCTCCGTCTTCTCCAGGGCACTCACCACTGTGCGACGCACGTAGGAGGCCACCACCCAGGGCGGTGGCCGATGCAGTGCCCGCGCCTGGCGCTCTGGAGTGCTGGTGCCTGCCGCGCCGCGCTCTTCGCGTTCCAGGCTGTGGCAGGTAGTTGGGCTCTGGAGTTGGAATTGGCTGCTGATACACAAGGCAATGGAAAAGCACTGCAGTATGGCAGGTAAGGTGGGTGGGTTAATTGGGGTAGGTAGGGTTGATATGGATTGTGTTGCTCTGGGAGGAAGCTGTATACTGTATACTCTAACAAATTGACCTTCTGAAGGGGCAAGTGTCCTCTATTAAAAGGCGATGGCTAGCCATCTGTGTCTGCATTGGTGACCTTCCTTTTTCTGGAATCCATCCATCGAGTGAGAGGACCTAACCTTTAGTTCAAGCATGTCCAAGCACTCCAATGCTGAGAACTCTGGGAGTCCTAACTCTGGGAGTCTGGTTTGAATGCTTTCCCAAACCATCCATGCATGTAATTTGCTTGCATTGACCTCCCTAGGCCAATCTCGTCCAGTTTCATGGAACATCTTTGCGTTTCATGACTGCCCCCCCAAAAAAAATCCTTCCAGCACTGCACCACCTCCCTCACTGTCCTCCCCCGATCCTTTCCCCCGATCGCGGAGACTCCACCAACCAGACGCCACACTCCGCGTGTGGCGCTGTTCCGACCCGTGGCGCCTTGCGCCAAGGCCATCTGTCGCTGCAAAGACTCCAACAACAAGGCCAAGCCACCGCCCGAGTCCTTGGCGACCGCTTCTGCACCGTGGACTGGGCGACCCCTCGGTCCGAGGGACCTGACCTGGAAACGGGAGCGAGGTGGACCCCTACCGCCTACATGACTGGTGCTTTTTTGGTGGTGAATGTAGGTCAGTTATGTATGCTTAGATGAATCCTCTGGGCAGTTAATGAGCTGAGGACGGGCGGATGTTAGGCCCAGCTCTGAGTCAAGTCTCCCACTTCAAAAGTCTGACACGAGCCGTGTGAAGAGTACCATTCCAAGCGACCACAAAATTACAAGCAAACCCTCGTCGAGCGGGTGAACAACTTGGATGTTCAGCACTGGGTCAGCACATGTCAGCATTTAGTCTTCCGGTCCATGGTGCTTGGTCTTCCAGTTGGGGTGGAACTTCTCTTCTGGCCACTATAGCGTTGCTGAAATAGTCATGGTTACGTGGGATCGCATGGTCTCTTTTGTTCGGAAGCCCAGTGCCATGAACTCCGAGTAGCCCTGCATGATTTTGGGGAGTGTATCTCAATTGATACAAGATACGCCCTGGAAGATTAACATGGAACCTGTAAACCACCGGGTCGTAGAGGAAAGTAGTCCTCCAAACGTCCATTGTCAGGTTCCATGTTAATCTTCCCGGGTGTATGTATCATCTTCTCGGGTTTGCAATGGGCATCACCGACCCTCCCCCCTGAAAACGGACTCCTTCTCACATGAGTTCACGGCTGATGGTGAGTCTTCCTTCACCTCCACCGTCCAAGTCTCCAAGTTCCCCGAGTTCGCCAGGGACGCTAAAGCGCTGATGGCTGCCGACTGGTCGAAGGTCTGCTTGTGCTGCATCTCCTGCACGCGGAGATAAGGTGGCAGTTGCCAGGAGTTCTTGAGACATGAGATGCAAGATGATGCAAGGGAAAAAAAAGACCAAACACATGCAACATGAATCCATGAAACGATATCAACATCATAAACTCGCTTGGAAAAAACACAACAAAGCACACTGCACCGTCCCTCCACCCGGCGGATTCCGAACTCTGACTACATTGACTACTAGCCGAGCCAACGTCGACGTCGGTCTCCGGCGGCAGCGGAGGCTGCGGCGTCGCTGAGTTGGCGCGGAGTAAACCTTGGATTTGATGATTCAGGAACGCAGGGGAGCAATAAACTAGTACCTGGTTTGAGAAATGAATGTTTCTCACGTGAAAAAAATCGCAACTCTATTCACCCAAACAAATTCTCTCTCTCTCTCTCTCTCTGGCGAGCATGACTCGTCCACCAAAAAAGAGATGGTCCCAAGATGAAAAACATCACTCAAAGAGATAGATCTTCACCAGGACACGGATAGTGGAGACCACCGAGACGGCTGAGGGCACAGCTTGCATCTCCTGCGAAGGTGGGGTGATCTAAGCGGAGCAACGTGGGCGGCACGAGGAGTTTTGGCGAAGTTGGGGGGCGGATTGGATGATGATGGATGATGGGTGTAGGAGAGGGCATGGTGGTGGGATGTGGTGGGTAAAAGACTGTTATAAAGTTTGCTGGGGTATCTCCAGAGGTCCGATGTCCGAAAATAAGCGAAGCATCTTTCTTTGTTGATCCAACATCCACATTGATTTGGCCAGGTAGGGGGGAACGAGCTCATGTAGTCTGACTTGGAAGCCTCACGCAGTTTGGGATCTGTCAATTATGATCAATGCTGGAGTTGAGCCATGCGTCTCGGCCGAATCACCATCCTCCCTGCCCCGCCTCCATCCGGTCGGTGGGTCCAAAGAGGTGCTGCTCCAAGAAGGGGATCTTGCCTGCTTCTATGGCCTGAACGCGCATTTTTCATAAGCGGGATCGTCTCGCGTATGAATGGAGGCGCATACCAGGCCTACCAGGCGTTGATGATTGATTGGCGTTGTAAGCTCCCCCAGTTTTGAACACATCTATATCACAGGCCCAGGAAACTTTTGAAGATGAGGACTCTCTCTATGGCTCTATGGTGAAGAACCTCATGAGGATGCCAAAAGAACATTCTTGGAGCCAAAGGATCAAGAACCCTCCAATTGTTGCTTGTTGTCTGGGTGCTTGCTGGTGACCATAGACAGTGTACAGGGACCTTGGATTTCCAAACATTGCCACGGTCTAAGGCCAGCCAAACCAAGCAAATGCACTTTCTCAGTGCTAAACTGCCAATGCCACATCCGTTATCATTGTTCTGAACCAATGGCATGAAGGGCTCTGGGTCAAAGCTGTAGATCAAACCAACACATCGCCAACAAACATCAGAAGTCAATGTGGTCCACTACAGTAGCAGGACCTTCAACTGACCTGTCTGGAGTCTCTAAGTGACCTGTTCAGGGACTATAGAAGTCACCTCATCTTGGGATCTCAAAAGGCCACTTGGAAGCTCCTGCTTCAAGATTGCTCTGAGTTGCTTCAGGAACTCTCTCTTAATTAGTTAGATACGTTTCAAACAACGAGAAGGCCAACAAAGACTCAAAACTCCCCAGCTCGCGGCCCTTCCAACATCGAAGACTTGTGGCTCGCGCCGGCTGCCTGCATGAGCATTTTGACCGCAGCTGCCACATGCGTCCCCGTGGCACACTTCCGCCAATTGATGCAGCGCAGCACGCACAACGCCGGGGCGCAGGGCGTACGTCTGCGACGGAGCCCAGCTGGACACGTGCCACCATGAGGAGGCTAGGGTGGCGAGGTTCAAACCCCTAAACGTGGAGCTGGGACCCGCCTAAATCAGTGACTCCATTAGTCAAGCCAAATATCGACAACAGGCTGATGCATGAGGCTCGGCTTTTGGTCATAAAATGTAATAAAAAACCAATGTTCCAAGGCTTCAAGGCTTCATGAACCGACGGCGTACAAACACCGGCCCACGCCGGAACCTGACCGCGGGATTCCTGATGTGTTGTGTGTAAAGTACTACTGTTCCTAGGGCTCCAAGTACCTCCTGAGAAGGTAGTTGGACCCAAACTGTATGAAAAGCAATGCTTAGTTTCCTCCAATTCCCCTCCAAAACATGTGAAGCGCATCGATGCATCATCTCGTCGGGTGGTTTTCCACCCACCCAGCTGGCCGAAGTGCCTGCAGTTCAGCTGCTCCCCAATTTCCACCAGGAGGCAATCCATGTCTTGCGAGGTGACAATGCCTTGGGTGGGTTTCAAGTATGTGATAGTGTGTGTGTGTGCCTTTTTCTCCACAGTTCTTGTTATGTGGCGGCTCTTGAGCAAATTAATGAGAACAAACATAGCAGGTACATTGCAGGTACCATGTTGCGCTGGCTCCAATGTGAGGCGGTGAACACTCACAGGACCATGCTCAGAATGGTGAACTTTGAGTGCATGACTCGAACTCTGGTTGTTATTAGAATACAGTAGCTTAAGCTATCATATAGCCATATAGCATTAGTGTTTTTTTGGGGGCCGTCTTGGGAGTGTGTGATTTCTTTTTTTTACGGGTATGTGTTGCGATCGATGGGTCAAACAGGGTCAGCTGGAATGCAGGACCTTCTGTGTTCGGATTTGGATGTTGGGAAAGCCTGTGTCCTTGAGTTGGATGGAGAAGTGTGAGGGAACTATATGACTATATATATATAATCTAATTGGAAAGGAGCACTGAACACCTGGCATTCATCTAAGTAGAGAAAAAAGTAAACGCTGTAACAAAAACACAGTAAAACTGCAAGCAGGGGTGTCCGACCTGAGATGTGTTTGTTTTAAGTGGGTTAGTGTTCTTGAACGGGATGCTATGCCTGTGCCTAGGGCAAAACTGGCGCAGCAACCCAAACGAGCCGAGTTCTTCGCCGAGGAGCCGTTCTGGTCGAAGGCTTTCACAATGTAGGGGCAGTTTGGGGTGATGATACTGGTCATTTGCGCCAGAAGTGCCCACAACTGGCCCTGCAGTGCATGTGGCTGAGTGCATGAATATGTGGCACTGCATACACTTGGCTGCATCGGCCAAGGAAGCAAATGGCAAACACATCACAGCAAACTATGCTCAACAATCCTCAAAAGCTCAAAGGCCTTAACATTTCTGAAGGTCCTACAGGCTTGGGAGCTCACACTTTGGATCTCCTCCCGCACAACACTTAAAGCATACAATAGAAGCAGCTCTCTGCAGCAAGAATTAGGTCTCCTGGTCTCCAACTTACTCTCTCCCCTTCTAAAAGCCAAAACTTTCAACCAGATCTTCTTGAACAATCACATCATATCACATCTGAACTCTCACATCCCAAAAACCACTAGAACACCAAGTGCGTGCGATTGTTTTTTCCGGCGCTGTTGTTCGACTCGAGACCAGCCACGCCGCCGCCCTCCTCACCATCCCCCGCCGCCCACCTCACTCATGACCTCCACGAAGCTGGGATCCAAACAGGGCACCGCCGTCAGCGTGCGCAGCACACAGCGCATCGCCGCCAGGGCGATGGTACTCCACTGGTCACTGAAGAGACCCTGAGCAGGGGAAGGGCTTTCAGAACATATATCGCCATATGCGCCATATTAAATAAACAAATAATACCAAATATGTATGTATATATATTATAGTATGTGTGTAAATGAGGTTGATTTATGTTATATGTAGATTCTTAGATTGTATTTGTATGTGTGTCCATACTTTTGTGCATAAGGTGAACCCTGGGACATGTCCAGAAGCATTCCGGCTCAACTGCCTTGACAAATTCTCTGACATGATCTTTGGGTCTTTAGTTCAAAGTTTAGGCAAGTCTTTGCTAAAGTTCCAGGAAGCGCTGAAGTTCTGTGAGGGTCTAAAGGGAGGTTTCTTCATCAATGCCAACCCCAAGCCAAAGCCATTCCGAGTCAGTCACCGCCGACACCACTGAGGCCGCTGACCCCTTGGCCGGCCACAATGGAGGCTGCAGAGAAGAGCAAGGCTTGAACCAGGGAACTCTCCTTAGGAGTTCCAGGACGGGCAATGAAGTCCCGAGGGGTAGCCTAGCATAGGCCCTATCATACGGGGGGGCTACTAGGGGATCCGTGTGCCAGGGCGAGGAAGACAAGACCAAGCCCGAACTTCGCAGACCAAGGCTCTCAAAGGACAAACTGAAGGTTGCAGCCGAAGCGACAGGCTGCGACAGCACCAGGTTTGGGAGAAGGATGTGCAGGGATGAAGGCAAACACATCAAATAACATGCAATAAACCTAATGTTGTGGTACCCATCTGTACACATCCAAAGCTTTGACCTGATGTGCCCAGATCTTTACATGCTGCGATTGCCCATTGGCTGACCGTGAGCTGACATGAGCCGACCCATGTTGCCAAGGAACATAGGTAGCCTTCGACTGGTGGCGGCCGGTAGCCTTGATGATTCCTCGGTATGAAGGTCTCAGATGAGATGGTGAAGCAAAGCATTCACCTGGTGCTTCAGCTGGTGCTTCCAGTCTTCACCAGGTGCTTCAAGTCTTCTAAAAGATCTTTCGAGAGTTGGTCCGGAAATGAGGTCACCACTATCATTCTGAGCTGATCGAGTGTCATGCTGGAGTACGTATATCCTGCTTTGCTGCTTTGATGTGCAGATGTGGCATCTGCTGGCCACTGGCCGAACAACAAACACCCAATTTCTTGGTTCGTGGGTCTTAGACATGTGTAACTCCACAACGACCCAAGCAACTGCAAAGACCCACAGAAAAACCCTTCAACGTCCCACATACTCTTTTTGGACCTCACATTGAAGTGGAGTGAACAACCAGCTGTTGGGTCTTCGGAAAACTCATGGTCTTCCTCTTGCGGAGCCCATGTCATCCATGGCCATGGGCTAGTTCTACTAGGGAGTAAGCCATCTGAATCCGACCAGGATCTCTCGCGGAAGAGTTCCAACTTGGAGACGTTGTCCGTGAGCTCATACTTCAGCGTGGCTTTGGCCTCCACCGAGATTTTCCTGGGAGCGAGGAAAAGCGACCGGCACCATGCGCTCGATGGCCCAAGCAGAAGAAACCGAAGACTTGAGTAGACAAACAACAAATAGAACACCTCAATCCACAATAATCTACACAATGAAGGTACAGTCCAAGCACCCCATTGTTTCAGAAATCGCTTTCAGATCTTTCAGAAATCGCCCGTTCCAAAGACCAATCTATGTAGAGCACCTCTAAGTAGCTTCACCTGCCAGATTTGGATCCTGGCAACCCCTTCCATGTCCATTTGCCTTCCCAAGCGGCTTCAAGACGTGAAAAACGCTCAAGGCTACATCTGGAGAGCTGTCCCGGCGGCCATGCAAGCCTGCTATGCTCAAACGCTCTGGGTCGGACTTACATGGAATGGAACCAATGGAACAATGCTTTCTCTGCGCAAGGCTTGGAGGCTGGAGGCGGTAACTATAGTCCATACACTATAGTCCATACATATCCCACTGATATCAACAGAGAAGCGACAAAACCTTAATATGTATGATTTCGATGAGTTTTGAATTCCATCATGCTTCCTCGCCAGTGTTGGGTGGCGGCATCTCCAGAATCGTCGCCGGGTATTGCATGGCTTTGCAAACCTGTGGAGCATGTGAACCATCACCGAGCTCAGTGCTTCTTCGTGCCGACCCCGTACATCGTGATCCCTACATCGGCGTTGCAGGCGAAACCGGCGCTCGGAGACCCGAAGGTCTGTAGATTCGGGGCCTCCCAAGTACAGCGGTGCAAAGAGGCTCTCGATCTCGTCCAGGTTGGGATCGGCGCCCGGCAGCAGGCTGCGCCTCACGGCTTCTGCACTGCACTGCTTCTGTCTGCAAGAGGTGGGCATCCAAGAGATGATGAGATACGAAGTGCAGTAGGGCCGTGACGGGAAAACTAGGGGCCTGAACAACTGCCGCAAGCTGTGGGATGTTTCAACCCCACAAATCCAGAACCTAAACACATCGAAAGCACTTAACGACTTACCTGCTAGCAAGACTGTTGTATAGCAACTCGCCCATCATGGTGGACCACACACACACCGGTCACGTCAACAGCTGCCCAGTGGCAGCTGTTGAAAGAGCTGCTTGGCACAACTCACCAAGACGGTCGGCTCCCAGCGGGGTGAATTCACATTGAGGTGAAAGTCCCACCTGAGTCAGTCGCGGAGCCCATCGCTGCCGCGGAGCCGCTGAAAGCACCCCCGAGTCAGTGCATTTTTTCAGGTATTGGTGCTCAAAAAGCAAAAGGGCCAGGCAGGGTCAGGCGACGTGCCAGGTGAATCAGGTGTACCTGTTCAAGATGATGAACAGGATCTCACTTGTTCATCTTATTCTGAAGGATTCTGCTTTTCGCCACATGCGTGCATTCTGCTTAGCATTTCTGCGACTTGAAGTTGTTGCACTGATCTAGGAGGGTCCAGGTCTTTGGAAAAGGGTGTCCACGACCTGGAAATCACCAGCCAAACCATGCCAAACCCATAAACACCGACCTTCTTACATGATGTCCATGGCGTATACCCAGTGCCTGTAGCTGAGCAAGTCTTAGCAACTCATACGCACCCACAAAAATCACTCAAGCCCCACAACTACAAGGGATTCTTGTCTAAGTAGGCCAACTCACAAAAGTACCTCTAGATACCTCTAGGACAGAACTTTGTATCCTACTCACTTTGTTCACCCTGTAGTACCTCCTAGGAACACCTCAAAAGTACTAGTACCCACCAGTGACACCTCCCAGGGAGGTACATGGTGTCCCCCCAGGGAGGACTGCACTTTGCTACAGCTTTTGTTCGTGTGCTTCCCATCCTCCCAGGCTTGCCCAGCGGCACGATGGGCAAATGGTCCGAGGGTAACAGCTCGTTCGGCATCAGCGCCAGCCAATCCCGATCGGCCGGGTCCTTGGAAAGCTAAAATCAATGGGTGTACATGTTTAAGCTATCTAAGGGGGACCCCATCATGGGGTGTTGCATGTATATAATTGCAATCAATAGGGGGAACCCGCAGTGATCTCATGTGATCCCCCTCCGCCTTCCGTTTACGGGTGAGCACAGCAAAAAGAATCGACACACCAAGACTTTTTGGTCTATCTGTCCTTGCTTTAAACGGCAATACATGCACAAACGGATCAAACAAGCTTCCATGTTACGTTCCTCAACTCGCATGTCACGTGCTGTGGAGTCATACCTCCTAATATGGATGCGCATTAAAATAGGGGGACCTCCCAACCAAGGGTTTTAATACGTATCCATATTAGGGCCTCCCATGGCCTCCATATTCCAGGGCCTCCCATACTCAAATAGAGGGGACCTTCCCTCTTCCAGGGCCTCCCTTGGTGCCACTGACCCACGCGGGCGAGGCGACGCGGAATCCAAGGCTCATCTGTCTTCCTGGGGTGCAGGCATGCGGTTCCGCACCACGTGGCGACACGGAATGAACAGGAAAAGAGGAGGACATTCCATCATGGAAATTCGGGATGTGTGTTTGCCGTTGTGCACTTAGCCACTGCAAAGTCAAACGACCGATGAGACCGCTTCCCGATTGCATCCCAAGTTAACATCTCAAATTGAGTTCTTCAAGCCCATTTGTCATTGAACCTGCTGTGAACCCAGAAGTGCACTTTAATGGGGCTGATAGATACGTAGGGCCCGTCGCCCGGACAAGCAAGACCTCAGTGCCATGGTATTCTGTTCATTGGTCAAGGCATGAGAAACTGATGTCTGATAGGATATGTATGATAGGATGTATACAGATACATGGCCACTGCAGGAATCGCCGGAATGGTCGAAGCTAAACTAGCTCAACCAGGAAGACCAAAGCATGGCTGTCTCAAGTATATGGCAGCCGCAACAAAGTCTGAGTCAAACCGCACAAGGGAAGCATGGCAGCCTGGCACCTTCGCCTTTCGCTTCGAGCGGCTTCTCCCTCAAGCGCAAGGCTTGCTCGCCCTGCCCGAAGAGATGGCGGCCGTCATAGAAGATGTGGTCAATGAGCTGATACATGTCCTGCAGCAACGAACCTCGCCATAAGTCTGACCTCCAAACAACGCATAGTTGCCATAGCAAGCACCTACAGTAGACTTGCCTGCCTGCGCATCTTCTGATCAATCTCAATCTTCCATTGTAGGTTTTTCTTAGCTCGGAGAAGGGTGCTGACCTCCAAACAAAAAGGATCCAAACAAAGCACCAACAGTTTCAAAGCTGCATTGTTTGAACCGGAGATGAGGGTCCGGCTGCAAGCCCGGTTGCAAGTTCAGTGTCCGAAACTTGTATTGACTCTACATGGGGGTTCTTATATGCTCCTATCATACTTCGGTCCATTTCTGCTTTTTCCACGGAGGCCTGAATATGACCAAGCTAAACTGCAACCTGGTCTACAAGTAAATTAATGCATAAATTCAACCTTACAACATATTAAAGCCAAAAAAGTGCCCCTTCGGATGCCTGCTAGCTCCCAAAAAACCGCAGCAGCCACACATCCAACGTTGCTGCAATCACCTGACTCATCGCTACAGTCTGGGCGTCCATCTTTTTCAGCATCGGACCACACGTGCGCCGATCGCCCGAGTCGAAGCCGAAGTCGGTCTCCTCGCCCACCTTCTTCGGCTGAGCGGACGCTGAGCCGCGCATCTTCCAAACCTCAGCCGTTCTGCGCCGTTCAGCGGCTTCCGCGGCTGGCGGACACAAGCGGGCCCACTGGACCCCAAAATGGACGTCCTTGGGCCGACCCACTCGGAGAAAGGATTTGGAGACAGAAAAGGGCAGACCTTGTGGGGGTGATCTTAAGGGATTACGAATTACAGTATACCTCTCTGGTGAGATTCTCTCCGGTCGCGTCAGCTTGGACGCCGCATTGGGAGAACCGCGACGCTTCGACGCCGTTCCTGTGGTTCTTTGTTCGGCATCCCATGGCCCAGCCCAAAGGGTTCATCCCAGCGAATCTGGAAGTGCAAGCTGGACATGTTTCGGATGCTTCACTGTGCATGGGATGTCTTGGAAAAGAAGAGGTGAATAAACACATTAGTATATATATAACACAATTCACCCGAAAAGGGACCGTTACCCTACTGTTCAACTGGCGCCACTCCATCTCGAGGACGACCGTGTTGACCTCCGAATGGGGCCGGGGCCCTCCAAGGAGCTGAGACTGGCGGATCCCAAATGTCGCCCTTGCTGCTGTAGAAGGAATCCCACACACTTCGCAGGTCCTCAGGGCGCTTTTTGGGAGCCGAGGGCAGTTCTTTTTTTCAGATTCCGGTGGTGTGATGCCCAAGCGGACACAGAGTGATGTGGCACATGTCCGGATAAACCAATCCCAAAGCAGCCCAAGCATGTGCCTCTTGATTGATGATGCTTCGAATTAGGGTGGTGTGGTGGGGTGTGCTCTGCAAGGTACCTGTGCTACACATTCTAGATGCGACATGATTAGATTGTGGATGCGGGAAGTCTACAACAGAAGGTCCAGCTTCATCATCCTCAATCCACTTCCTTGTTACAACCCACCAGGCACAAAAAAAAACATGATTCCAGTATGCCTTAGCTTTAGGCTATCGCAACCGTCATTCCCATGTTGATATGATTGTATAAGAATCTGACAAAGACATACGGAGACACCGTGGTAATTGAATCGTCCTACCAGCTCTGATTCCCGGTGCCCTTGGCAAATAAGGTTAGTTCTTGTTTAGTGGAGAAACCAATGCCCGCAAAGGGCACAAGGCTACCCATTGACAGGGTAAGGCCTCAGGTGAGTTGGTTTGGAGGAAGCTTCATGGACCTGATCTTTGGCATATCTTGGCATCCAGGGAGGCCTCCTAAGGCTCCTAAGGCCGCAAGAATGGGTCTGGCTTAAGAAGAAAAAGCCGACCCCCATGGCCCAACACCACACCACTCGGGATGGCCCAGGCACGTTCTTCTGCATGAAGCTCTGCAGTGCATTGGCATCTTCAGGGATGGGCACTGAACTGCAGGTCATGTCCTGAACTGCCACAGGTCAACCAGCTGTTCGTCCGGCAAATTTGGGTATAATATCAAAACCATGCTTTTCATTTGGATCCAAACTGTCAGGTGGTAGAAGGACTCCACCTAGTGTAAAATGTATAGATTGATTAATATAGCATGTGTTTTCCTTCTAAAGGAGGCCGGCTGTGCAACACTCGAATGATTGGCGACACTGTCCAAGGGAATGACCCCAAATGCATAAAGGCAGCGGCATAGTTTACACATATTATGTAAAATCCTCATCTCAAATCCACCATCCACCATTTGCATGCCATCTCTTGCGCCATCTCCCCACACTCACCACTTCGTAGTTTTCGGATATGATCTATTTTTCCCCAACGCACCGTCCAGAAGAAGCGACAACAACCCTTCGTCGCGGGATCCGCGGGATCCGCGCTTCGGGCGCGGCACGGGGTCTTCAAAGTCCACCTCGGTGTTCGCGTCCATCGACCTGATCGGCTCCGTGCGCGCGGAAGCCGCTGAGCGTCGGAGTGTGGTACACGGATCGGTTCCCATCCCTGGATGAGGAACCGTAGGGTTAAAGCGACGCGAGGAGTCAAGGGAGAAAAGGGGAAGAAATTACATATGATCCGGGTCCCACTTCTTATAAGATATATATGTTGTAAATGGTCAACCATTCCTGTGTCCTCTTCTATGTCCAACTTGGTGCTCTTCTCCCATCCTTTTTCGGAAGAACCAGTTCTCCGAGAGGCCAAATCTCAGGTAGCCCCGAGCGGGCCCAGGTGGAGCCTAGGGCCGGGCGCGTGTGAGTTGTCCGGGCGCGGATCACTTGAGGCCACATGAATATCCCATCCGGGCTCCAGTCGGGACCTTCTTAGAAGGTGGGACTGGGGTGGGTGCCAGGGTCCTGTCCAGTCTTATCTTCCAAAGGAGGTATGACTGGAGCCCTACTGTAGGGAATACATACACTCCCTGAAATCATCATGGAAGTGGCGGAACACCAGGGCCATTGTTGGTCTTCGGATTTCATGGTGGTCCATTGTCAAGCTCCAAACAAAATGATGAAACTCAGGTGGTCCACTCTGCATAAATCAAGCTTAAGATGTCTTCGGACGGCTTGCAAATGGAAGACCTGACCAAAATCCATGAAAAATCCCATTGAGTCCAGCGGTGCTGGCTGTCTTAAGAGTTCTCTCTCTTTTCCGTGCAGGATCACGTGGAGTCAGCTACATCTGGGCCTAATAGTAATCCTGGAGTAAATATGGAAAAGCCAATCCCAAACTGGCCATGCCTTCGGATTGTATCGGCTCCAGAACGGTGTTCTAGTGTTCTAGGACTCCCCACCCTCCCCGGTCATCCAGAAAAGAAAACGACCCAAGAAATCAACACACACAAACTCCCATGCCGATCCGGGGGTTGGAGACCCAGATCTCCCGGGGGTTGGATATGCGACGTCAACGTGCCGTGCTGAGCCCAAATCTGCTGAGCGTCCCAGGTGGTGAAGCTGTTGGATGCGGTGCACTTCTTGGTCCGTGCCACTGGACCTGCCGAGGGTAGCGGGTGCCCGAGTGCCCGCTTTTGGGGAAGCCGACCGACTGGGTATAGGTGTGGGAGACCACTAGTGGAGTGGTAGTGGATGGAGGTGGGCAGACTTGTTTTAGATAGATTTGTAGGTAAGAAGAGCTCGCTGGGTACATGAGAAAACAGCAGGTCTGTCGGTGATTCACGAATTGGGCAAGCAAGCAAGCAAGCAAGCAAAGCAAGCAAAGCAAGCAAAGCAAGCAAAAGCAAGCAAAAGCAAGCAAAGCAAGCAAAGCAAGCAAAGCAAGCAAAGCAAGCAAGCAAGCAAGCAAGTCGGTGCATGTCGGTGCATGTCGGTAGTCCGCAACCTCTTGTTCTTGCCGCCATGATCCCTAACCTTGTGCAACTTGCAAATGACTATGACTATGGGGGACTTCAATGACTAATTATGAGTCAAAGTCAGGTTTCCGCATCCCATCGCTCATCCGTAAGCCAAGGAGCAAGTGAGTTGTGCTTACGTAGAACTGCCTGGTGAGGCCAGGCCCGTCACGTGATCAGGTGAAACCCATCACGCTCTGCACGTGTTTGAAGTCAACCCCGAGTTGATTACAATTAAAGGATGACTCTTTCATACCCATGAATGTTTTGCCGTACCAAACGCGTGATCAAGGAGTTCCAAGGCGAGATATATTATCATATTCTGTCATGAACCAAGCGCTCCTTCCTTCAAAAGGTTCAACAGTGATAGCAGTCATTGGGCAAGTCTTATCCCTTAATGGCGCCAGCTAACTCCCCCTACCCTCACCCGTCAAGCCCGTCCGTGCAAAAAAGCGCTCAAAGCCAAGCCAAGTGGCTGTCGATGCAAGCGCTCATCCAAGTCTTTGAACTGCAACAAGACCCGAACTGCCCCTTGATCACTTTGTGTGCATCCTGCACACGTGGCGCACGAGCATTCAGCATTCGAGGATTTCCCGCGGGCGCTGGGCACAGCTCTAGCGAATTGAGAGCGTTTTAGTTTTCTAGGGATCTGTGTGTGCCTCACTAGTTTAACTTGTTGATACCTATCGACTTCGAATCAACTAGGGGTGTGACATCAACCCTCAATGCCCTGCGAAGAATGAACAATGCACATCATCGCCCAAGCCCTTCAACACGCTGTGTCCATCATGCACGGGAGTCGGCCATTTCACGCATCACCTGAAATGGCCAACAAGCGCTAGCGCTATAACAACGCCAGGAAAGAGAAAGCGCGTTCGAAACCATGAGACTATAACAACGCCAGGAAAGAGAGCGCTTTCGAAACCATGAGACTCCCATAAGACTCCCATGACCGCTTGGACCGCATCTCCCGCTCCTGGCTCTTCCGACGTGCCGTCCAAGAAGGCATCGATGTCGGCATCGCCCGGGAGCACCAAGAACTCCTGGAACGAGGTTGGCGAGGACGGCGGGTCACGGACGGACGGATCTGCAGTGAGCGAACAAAGCTGACGGTGGTGTTGGGGATGGGTGTGTAGGGTCTATGAGAAGGTAGCTGGAGCAGTTGGGAAGCATCTTGGGTGAACGCTGTGTATATATACCTGTTCATGTTGGGGATGTTCAATCACTCAGTTAGAGGGTCACCACCGAGGGCAGGTGTTTGATGGTGTTTGTACCACCATCCAGTTTGGGGTGTTTGATAGAAGCTGAAGGGAAGTCTCCATGACGTGAACCATACAGTTCACCGTCTGTTTCACGTGCAAAGCTTAAAGCGAACCGCCCCTCTACGACCTGATCAGGTGGAGCCACACATGCGCTGTGACGACCGAATCATTTGATCAACCTGCAGTTCTCGGAGCATCCCAAGCCTTGCCAAACCACAGAAACCATCCCAAATCATTCGAGCCCAAACGGCCCAAACCATCCATCCATTATCATAAAGGAGTAGGTTACTGACATTAGGGTCAAACATGAGGCAAATGCATGTTTATAGCACAAACGGTGTCATATAAAACATTTTACTGTATATGGATGATCTGGCACAGGTCTTGGTTCTTGACATCGCATGGTTTTTCGTCCAAATGTCGACCAGTGAAGGCTCCAGAGCATCCTAAACGTCCCATCCAAGGCACTGGCTCCCCGACGATCTCAAAGCGATCATTGCGCCAGAAAATGGCTTGGCCATCATCATCGATGGGCCACTGATGCCCATCAATGGTCCTGTGTTCACTCATTCGGGCTGATGGTTGGAGGTAGGGTAGCAATGGTTGGATGATGTTGGATGGTTGGTGAGTGGGTTGACAAGATGTCTGGCACGCTTTCAGAGACGCTTTGACAGAAGTTCAACATTTTGACAAATAGTGCATTCTAACATTATCATCCTTTCCCACCTTCACCACATATACACTTCCCTCCCAGCACTGTAGCCCTCCAATGATACCTGCGTCTGGCTTCACACACACAGTACAGGTGGAGGAGGTTGTGTGTCTGGCGTGCTATTCTTTGCCTTGAGGCAATTCCTAGTCACATCTAATTAATCACATCTATATAATCAGTGGCACAAACATGCACAAACCCCAAGGTCGGTGGTGCATATGGACCCCATCTGTCTAGGACCTCTTAGGGTTTGTAAAGGTTCTGTCATTCAACAGGTCGCAGCCTGCCAGGCCTCGATCGAGTTCTGCCGTCTGCCGGCGGTCCAGGGTCCAAAATGGTCAAAACAGCCCGCCACAAGAACAACATAGACTGAACAACAACAACAACAACAACAACAACAACTTGTTCAACTTGGAGTAGTGGATGGAGAGTAGATGGCACAATTCCCAAGGTTGGTGGTGCAGGTATGGACCCACAATGTACAAGACATGTGGGGGGTTGTGCCATCTAGTCACCTAGTCTGAGGCCGCTGTAACATGCACTGTAACTGATGCACCTCTGAACAACACTTTGATGAACTCTGAAGAAAAAAGGTCTAGTTCCCACTGATCTTGTGTTCGAAACAGGGTAGTCCTAGCAACCATCAGCTTGAGCTCTCTCACGGGTATCTAATTACAGTGAATCTATGATATTCTATAGTAATTCTATAGTATCCCATAGTGTTACCCTATAATAATCGATCCTTAATATCCCTGTGCCAAAGCCCTGGTCTTCACTTCCGCCCAGGCACGCTTTGTGACCACCGTCTTTCACTCTCTTCTCCAAGAAGTGTCGCGCCGTTGACTTCCCGCGCTTCACGCCGCTCTTCGGCGCAAAGGACCACTCGGATTGCGCCAGGCGCTCCCCTCGGTCGCCGCCGACATGGACCGCTCAAAAAAAGAAACAATACCCAAACATGGAGTCTCGGAAAGGAGTGTCAACAGTACTTGGTGAAAGGTTCTAGGATGTTCTGAGCCTCCAAGTATCTCCAAAAACCACTGGCCATGGAAGGCTTTGCAAAAGGCACTCTAGGTCCCGCATCCACTTCCCTGGGCCGTGTCTGAGTCTCCGGGCCGTAGCTGCCCGTACGATCCTTCAAGGGTACATAGTCCTTGGCGCCCACGGAGCTGCAAGCGTAGCCCAGCTTCTGCAATTCGTGAGCCAAGAACGCAAAGTTGTCCACCTCCTAGCATGAAAAGACCCCAAATCGGCTTTCGGCTTTGGGTGCGTTTTTTCACCTCACGGCTTTGGGTGCGTTTTTCGTGCTCATGGTGGTGATATACAGTACGGCCAACCGAGGGCTGTTCTTTCCCAGCTGGTCCGACCGTTGCGGTGTCTGCTTTGGGGGTCATGGGGCGGCCAGGCCGATGCGGGACCCTCATGGACTCATGGACCCATGGTTGGGGGTTTGGACGGAGCCGGCAACACAGGTTAGGGGTGGTTTCGGGGGGGAGGACAGCCGATCTGCAGGCGTTTGGAGCAGATCTGCAGCGTTTTTAAACGCCCGATGGGTGAGACGGAGCGTTTTTTTTCAAGCAACAGAAGGATTGGAAAAGCCAACGGCACCAACACACAACTAAAGTTTAAAGTGTTGCTGCTGGATGGCTCCTGCAGTTGTTTGTGCATCACTTGTCGTTTCCTCGCTGCCAGCACTATCACATGCTTCAGTCCTGGAAGCAAATGACATCAGGCTGCAACAGCGCCACAAACCACACCTTGGTGCTTGCTGCTGGCTGCAGGGATTTCCAGAACCTGTCCCTGCTTTGGGTGCGGCACACCAAATTTGCCCCTTGCGTACATGAAGGAGGTAGAAAACACGACTTTCCCCTACCAACTAGGTTTTCCCTGGTGGTCGTTCCACATCCAGATGTATGTTGTTGAAAGTAGCTTGAAAGGAACAACAGCAACCAGTGGTTTTGACTGGTTTGGACGTTATACCATCAGCTCCGACATGGTTGGCCAATGATTCTATTGAACTCAGGTCACGAGGTCACGATGCCTCCCGGACTCAAAGAGAACGAGCCTTGGACTCCATGGTCATTCCTCCAGGTGGGATGATTCGCCATGGTTTCAACAGTAGATGGCATCCATATCAACCACCAAACTTGGAGGCCCTTGCGCCATCTACATTCCACCAAACTTGGACCCTGAGAAGAAGGCACCCTCAACTGTTTCCCTCTACACGCTATAGGGTCCATGTTAGCCTTCAGCAGAGTACTCTCAATCGACCTCCCTTCCACCTCCCCCCTTCTACCTTCGCATCCGAGCGGCCACTCGCAGGAGACGATGCTCAGGGCCCACCACGGCCTTCTCGTTGACCGTGAGCTGGCCACTGTTGGGGCCCTCCTGGTCGGGGTTGTACCTGCCGCGCCAGCGACCAGGCATGCCGCAAGATCTGGAACAAGCCGGAGACAAGAACAACACGTCCTCGGCTTGAACCTTCCACGGCAAAGAACTTCGGTGTGCTTCACTCCAAGTGGCCGGAGACATAAATGTCCAGAACAAGATGTAGCTCCCGTTGTCAAGCACACCCTCGGCCTATCCCCTTGCCAATCATGAACACACACAAAACACGTGATGTATATCACATAGAATGCCAACAAATATTCCAATGCCAGAATGTTGATTAATAACCCCACCCATTTGGATGTACAATCTATTCATGAGTTCATCAATCGAGATTCTACATATAGTCCATCTTCGCCTCCACTCCACCGCGCCTCTTCTTCAAATCCAAGCCCCGCTCCTCCTTCTGTGAGGGCGGCAAGCCCTTCATGGCGAGCACCATGTTGCAAGCCATGCGTGCAAACTCTTCCCAGTGGATTTGGTCGCTGCCATCCTCGCCTGGAACCAACCATCAGGCGAGAACAAACCACATGAAAAGCGGTGTCCTTTTTACTCATATATGAATCGATTGTAATATGTTGTATATAGTTAAATAGTGAGAATCGGCCCATGTCGTGTAAAGGCAGGAAAAGCATGCAAAAACAAAAACGTGCATGCATGAACCAAAGAGACCTCCAATGTCCTCCACCTCCTATAAAGGTTGACTTGTCTTTTACAGCCAGTCACTCCACCAGAATGTATCTCTTGCACATCTACAGTGGTTTCAACCCCCCCTAAATGGTAAGGTCAAGGTTTATATACAGTATATATATATATATGGATTTCTTCTCAGAAATCATTACTAGTCTAAAAAGTGGGCAGCTCACAACACTCTGGGCTCCAGCCCTCTATCAATTTGGGTTACCCGTGGATGCTTAAGCCGTGACTGATGCTTCTACACCTGGCGATGGATTTTTATTCACAGCCTCACATGCAACTTGCACAGCAACCACTCACTGAATATGTCAGGAATAAACGATTATAGCCACTGTATAATGTTCACATCATCTGCCTGACACTGTTAATTAATCCATATTGTCATGGTACAAGTATCTTTTTAATGAATCCGCCAGGTGCGTTTCGCCCTCGTCCAGCTCCCTTTCATCCCTGGGTGCACTCCTCTTGGGGCTTTCTGAAGCTACTGCGGCGTGAAGCCCCACCGAAGCCCCAGGATCGCCCCACCTTGCCGCCACACGAAGCTTCGGTAGCCCTGGGAGGAGAGCTTGGCCGCCGTACGAAGATCCTGGAGCGGCCGCGAAAAACGAACCGAGGAAATGATCCTCCAACGGTCGGGTCGGGCGAGTGTGGGTGAGTCGAACAGGTGCAGTCTGTGATCGTCAACGGTTTGAGATGTTCGGGGGGGTCAGGGGGATACTATAGATTTAAACACAAATGTTGCTCAACTAAATCGAAGCAGTGCTATCGACTTCAATATCTCGAAATATCTTGAATATTAAATCATACAACTCGCGTGCTATTGCAATGTCCAGCCAACAAGTTAACAAGTTGCTTCCAACAAAGCACAGCGCGTGCGTCTTGCTTCCAACGAAGCACAGAATCTGGACTTAGACCAGGTCTCTCTCCAAAATCGAGGATCCCAGCCATCCGCTCTCTTCAACCACCCGGACGTTGGTCCTCTGGTTCGCCGGTCTGCAATAAGGTCTGCAGAAATTGATCCTCAGTGTGTGTGTACACGTGAGGGATGAACGGACACGTGGATGGCGATGCGTTCTGTGGATGGTGAATCCATGGATTTACGTCATGGACTCCAGAAAGCAACACAAACATATTTACCAAAAAGGGATCTACACACAGGGAGAATCAACATCGCTCTAGGTAAGCAAAACCAGGCTTTCATGATCTGTTGTGTGTTCTGTGCATGTCTTTTCTCTGCCAGTCACTGGTAAATCTCAAGTGCTCTACGTGATGCACATGTCCAGCCAAACAGTATTGTGTATCATGTCCAGCCTTGCTCAACGTGATTGATTCTCAACGTGATTGATTTCGGAACCACAAATTCCGGCTTTTCAGGCTCAGCCAACCTTGAACACTTTCCTCCCAATACCACTTGAAGAAATGTATACACTCCCCGAAAATAACATGCAAGTGAATGGCTCGCCCCTAGTTCGGATGAGCATGTGCCGAATACCAAACGGGGAGGTTTTCCACTTCCATGTGAGTTCCAGGAGGACTGCCACTCGTGTGAGTTCCAATCACTTGCTGTCGCGATGCGGAGCGCTGCACATGAGCCTTGGACACCAAGGGCATCATAAAGCCCTCTGGCACCAGGCCTTCGGCTAGCAGGTTCCACTGCAAGACGCGCCTTGGAATGGGAAAAGAGTTAGGATGCGTTTTTCAAGACTCCAAGGCAGAAAAGGACCATGGAATGTCATGAATTATGAGGAAATCAAATCGCCAAAATCGATCAGTTGCAAGTGCATGGGCATGATCCCGGTGTTTTGCGTTGACTTCCAACACCAATTGGCGCGAATTCCCACAGCATGTCGAGTCCTCAAGGACTCACTACCGCCTGGGAGAAGAAACCATCCAAGCGCGCCTGAAACCTTCCAAACGCGTGAAAAGTGCCTTGGGATGCTTGAGAAATCTATATATAGTACGAGTATATATATATATATATGTTGTTTTTTTTGGATAGCTAGTTGTAGTTTTATTTCATTGGGGCCGGGAAAACGCACCGAACCCATATATGGGTTCGGTGCGTATATATGTTATTAGTAACTGTATTATATTCATATATATATATACATATTCAATTCTGAAGTTAACTTATGGCTCCAAGTCCTACCCAGCCACATCACCTGGGCCATCACCCCGGCCACCGTTGCCCATCGCCAAGATGCAAGTTGGAATCTTTAAACCTCAGCGAGACTCTGTCAGGAACCCCACCTGACTGGTGAATTGTTGGTTCATTGTTTACCCACCTGCCAGTTTTTAGTGTTCTCCAGCTTACTTGTAAAACAATGAAGGGGAAACAGCCCAGCCAACCTGCGCGTCCATGGCTTTTGTTCATTGTTGAGTCTGTTGAGCCAACATTGCCGGTTTTTCATCTGCACCGGATGGAATTTCACGTGCATTTTGAATGTGTTTTCCGAACTGCACCCGAGTAGGGCAACAGGAGCTGTAGGACAACAATCGACTCCTCCTTGCTGTACATGACCGGACAGTCATGACCGGATCGATTCCAGCTTCATCGCCCAGGGGCGTCTCCTCCATGGGCCGCTCGAAGGGCACCTGCCGAGGGGCAGGGCACCGACGCACCGTCGATGTGAAGACCCAGAATCGCTCGAAACGGTGGATTTGTAGTATATAGGTGAGAGTCATTGGTCTCACATGAGGAAAACACACATAGAACAAAACTATTGACTGACTGGTGTGGAAGTGGAGTTCACCAGCTGTTTGGTATTTGGAACATGGTCATCCGAACTTGGGGCCATGCCATCCACATAACCATGATGATTTTAGGGAGTGTAGTCCAGATTTTGGTGAAACTGTGAATCTCTTCAGAATTTTGTTGTGAAGTTATGAACATCTTGCCACTGCTACAGGGTGAAAACAACCGCCCTTTTCGCCAAGCACCAATGAGCTTGAGACATGGAACAGGACTCTTTTTGTTCAATAGGAGCCTGGGCAAAACCCATTGTTCAGGGCCATGACCATTGGTCGATCCGGTTCTCGAAGCCCCTCAAAGGATAGCTAGACCCACCCCAAACAGGGTTTTTAGAGCTCCTGATGCCTGCAGGTCTTTGGTTTCCAAGCATTTTAGGTGTTTTACTGTTTGCAGCCGAATTGGTGTCCTACACTCCTCAAACACTTCCAATCCAAAAGGACACAACTGGATGATCCAGAAAACCGTAAAACGCCACAAACATTGACACAATGTGGTATGTGGCTCAAACATGATGGGGTGGTTCTATACTGTCTTAAAGTGTTCAGAACAGCGCATCCATGTGGCCCAATTTGAAGCTCAGGTTTTGCAACAAGTCCCTCCTTTCAAACCTGGATCAACATTCCTCACAGAGTATCACAGAGTTCCCCCACCGTTGTACAGATTTGAGATGTTTTCCATATTTCAGGCGGCACTTCAGGACTTGCGGACCATCCTCCACCCTAAACCTCACCGGACACAACCCCATACACGGCTGGGCCGCCCAAAAGGTATACGCCACACCCATCTGACCCTGCGGCCGCCTCGGGGTCCAGGAGGGCGCTTCCTTCGAAGTGCTTCCGCCACAGTTGGACCTCGTTCGTTCGACCGATCCTCCGGCGTGATCAGATCAGTTCCCGCCCGGTCGGACAGGCTTGGTGAGTGAGGCCGCAAGTCGACTGGGAGCAGCGTGATAAGGTAAGATCAAGAAGAAACATACCAGGATCATCCTGGACATGGGTGTCCTGGCGTTCGACTACCCTACCCGACGTAAACAGACTACCCTACTCCAGGGCACCCGGACAGGAAGTGCTAGGTATATATAAACATATGCATACATGTTATGCAGCAAAAGCATCATCTATCCCATCTTCCGGGTCCAGTGGATCCCCCTTTTGAAGCTCAGTCAGGTGCGGCTGTGTGCCCCAAGCCCCCCAAGGCCTCACTGGAAGGCTTACTTGAAGGCCTTATGGACGTTTTTGGTTCGGTACCCGGCCGAAATCTTCCCCACAATGGTCCACTTCTCGATGTGTCCGACCATTGACCAACCGCCAGCCAGGCTGCCCAGTGCGCATCCTGCAGGAAGTTCGGGTGGACGCCATCCGCTTCCATGGCCTAGGAGCGAGCAGCTCATGAGTTTACAGGGACATCTGCAACCCAGTTTTGGGGAAAAAACCACGGGTGTTTCCTGTAGATGTTCGCTATTCTGGGAGAGCCCAAAGGGTTTGACCAGAGCAATTGGCTCAGTGCGTGCCTGAAACCGAACCGGGAGATCCGGATCCGAGTTTCCCATCGGAAGGTCGGGGAACACGAGAACCAGCCAGCAAGGTGAGCAAGTCACCAGCACCACCCACTTTGGGTGTTTGTATTCGATAGAGCACGCATCGTCCCAGTCCAAGGGTCTATTTACCACCCGAACTGGGTGCTGCTGGCCCCGTTCCATGTGTTTGTTTTACTTGTTTTGGCTGTTCATGAGGTGTTGGTCTCCGAATGGGTGCGAGCAATGTTTCCAAACCTTTGACCATGGCGAAACACCCGCAACCATGGACATTGTAAGCAAAAAGCGCTCGTCCACCCGTCTGCTATACATCCGAAATTCCATTTATTTGTCCACTCATGCTTATGGTTTTTAAAAAGCTACCCATTCTCACATCAGGCTTGGATTCCACCAGAGATGGAACTCTTCATGAATCAGGAAGAAAGCGCCGAGCCACGTTCAGTTCGTTCGCCCCAGCTCCATCCCATTCGCGCCTCCCGGACCTTCTTCTTGTATCCATCCAAGCCCGCCATCAGAACCGGCGGAGCTCCGGCTGTTCCGCCGGAACCGGCTGTTCCGGAGGCACCGTGCTTGGTGTTTTTAGCAGAAAAAGAACCGGTCCAAGGCCAAGTTTGGGGGAACAGCTGATTTTGAGAGAATGACACCTGCCAAACTTTGTGAAAGCATCGATCTTTTGTTGGTTCGTATGAGCTACAAGTAGCTGCTTGTAGAAAGCGGCTCCAGCTTAGCTGGAATTTGCACTCTGCACAGGAACATCGTTGGATTGAATCGGAACTGGAATCGGATTGAATCCATCCAGAAAGCCAAAGCATGCCTTTGTAACACATCTCTGGTCCTTGAACCGAGAGCACGGAAGCTGTGGTGTGGTCATGTCTGGTTTTCTTGAGATGGTGCTGTAGGTTGCCAAAGAAAGCTCCAGATGGAAAAAGTCAGTCAAAGCAAATCACGTGCCTTATATATGCAGTGCATTTGAAATCACACAATCACTTACTAATATGGAATTGGAACAAAACACGGAGGCAGCACGCGGGCAGGTTACCACTTCCATGTGTTCAGCGGGGGGTGCATGGAGCAGTTCTCTTACACTGCCGGCTGAGGCTGTTCCCCATGAGAACCGCATCGATATAAATTGGGGACTTCACCTGGAAATGCTGAAGAGGATTGACCGTAAAATGTATCGGATGAGTGCTTCAACAATCTTCAACATGATATCTAACACAGTCCTGAGCCATAAAAGGATCAGTAGGTTGACTTCATCTTGTTGAGTGAGCAATGTTTACCCAAAAAATAGTTGGTCACAAACCAACCAGCTCATATCGAATCAGGGAAAGCGTACTGTCACAGCGTCCAGTATGTCTGCTACATGTTCCCTTATGTTCCCTTGGCAGTCCGTCAAAGGCAAAGGTCTCAGCGGCCTTCAACTGCGGAATGTTCAAAGGGTTCGGGGAATTCAACCATAGTTTATGATTATATATGATTATGCAAACATGCCCTGAACCGTTGCCATGTGGTATAATTCCAAACACCACGGCCGTGGCAATGTGATTCATGGCATCTGGTATTAGGGATCGTTAACAAACGTAGTTTTATGATTATGCACAGTTGTGGTGTTCACTTTCTTGTGTACGCTCAGACTGTCTGTTCCACCCTAATTTGTTAGGTTATCCTCAATATTTCCTGAGGTGCACCCAAATCATCGCTGCTTGCTGCGCCGGCTGCGCCTGCTTGAACACGTTGATGGTACAATCGATCATCTTGGGCACCACTTCTTGCACGCTTGAATCAAAGACCTGCAATGCACATCGGCAAGGTCAATGGGACCGGCCAATTGCTATGAAACATGTAGACTGCAAACTCTTGATTAATGTATGCAAAATATATCACCTCCAAAATTTGATTGAACGCCTCTTCGCATGGACGGTCTATCATATTCAATCCATTATGAGCATGGAATGGTCATGTTCCTTTAATATAGCTGAAGAATCCCTTTCCCAGTGTCACATTAGGCCACCGGACCGCGAAGAAGTGTTTGGTGATGACAGCGAAAATGTGCTTGATAGACACCTGGCCAAGGTGTGTCTGTGTCCTTGGTCTGACCCATGGACTCTGACCCAAAGTCCTTGAAACGGATGTCCACAACGATGGACAGGTCATGAATGAAGCACAGCAAGTCACCCACAAAGCTGTGGTGACTGCAACCTTGCCTCCCAAACACCAATTCACAGCCAACATGAATCCCCAAAAGCACCTAGTTGAACGGGAACACGGCCATCTATATGTGTCCATGATACGTTATGATAATTCATACATGGTGTAATAATACATATACTGTGTATATATATATATATACGCACGTTCGGGTGCCCAAAAGATCCAACGAGTTTCCAAAGCGTGGGAATACAGCACACCAATGAACCAAGCCCTGGAATCCGATTCAGACCGGAGGTATGTGAGGACTACAAACCACCTCTGTATAGCTGAGCTGGAGCCGGGGGAAGGGAAACCATTGACATGGGTGTATCCTTTTAAAGAGGCCTCAGCTTGCTGAGGTGTTTGTCTACTTTTTTGGTTTTTAACGCCTTGTTCAAGCGCATATATGGGGTCTCCCTATCCAATGCCATATTAAAACTGACCAGATTCCTGGCGAGTTCTTCCTACCACACTGATTCCGTCGCGCGCCCTATGAATCTGATTCTATCAGGAGATACGGTGCATAGATGCATCACACCCAGCGTGTGTTGTGGAGACCTCCCAGTTCGACCTCGAAGAAAGGAACTAGACCAACAACATTCGGCAGGTTTTTTTCCATCAATCGTTTTGCCCCCTCTGTCGTTCCCTCATGGAATGACACGAAATACATCTAAATACCACATCCATTTGAACTCTGCCACATCTTTCATAAGTAGTAACAAGAAGCGAACGTAGAAACAAGTGCCTTACTAGTAGTAACAGGTGCCTTACTAGTAGTAACAAGAACGCATCGTTGTCCACCTCCACCGCTTTCCGCATCGCCGTCTCCCGAAACCAAACGCGTCACGCCGCACGTCCGAGAGGTCGGAATAGGCGAGCCTGAGAGATACTTGCGGGGAGGGACCGGACGGAGCCGGTCCAAGCGGGTGGTGTTTGGTTTTGGGGAACCTCTCCAAAACATGTTTGTTGTTGTTGTTGTTGTTGTTGTTGTTTTAGCAATTCATGTTGAAAAACGTCGTTTTTCGTGTTTCATTTGGATTGTTTTTGTTGCTATGATGTTGTTTGGTCATCCAGGTGATCATGCAAAGAAAGGGGCAATCGGTCTGGAAAGCCGAGGATGGAAGGGCAAACAAAAACGCCAACACCAACCGCAATATTGATAATATGTATGATCTAAAGGCTGAATAGTCTTCCCAATTCCGACAAACATGAAGAAAGAAGAACATCGTCTTCCTATTTGAGCAGGTGTTTTTCGTCTTCCCCAATAGGGACATCGTCTTCCCAATGAGGCTTCCCAAATCGTCTTCCTATTCGATCGTCTCACAATGAGCCTTCGGGTCATTGGACCCCACCCGACCGGTGGACCGAAGGACCGCTACCGTGCTTCGTTGGTGGATCGAAAGCTGGTTGGGCAAGAGGCAGAACATGTTGAAATAGCTTTGCAGCCATCATGCAAATGTTCCATGTCTCTTGGGTTTTTACTTTGAATTTGTCAGGGTTGCTCTCCACACATTGGAACAACAATCCCAAACAATCAACAGGCAGCGATGATACCTGTGTTGAAACTCTGTCTAGAGCCTGGAATTATGGATCCAACAGCTTCAAACATTCAAATCAAAATTCCATAAAATTCCTCTTCATTGAGCTCTCGCTATCCGCTCCATGCGAAACTGTAGTCTGGATCTTTGCAAATGCAATCCTCCCAGCCCATCTGAGAGCTTTTGCGTGCTGTAGTGCCTCTTCAAGCCTCATCCAACGCTGAGGCTAGACCAAACCCAGTGGACCTCTAGAAACCAGTGGGTACCTACATATTCAGCTCATCTAGATCAATCATGGTTCAAACTCGACCGCTTGCAGAAGAATGGCAATCATGTGTTTGGCCGTGCATTGAAAACACTGGGTGCGATGGGCATGGAACACAATGGGGAAGTTGGCTCACATGGAGATACTGGTGTCGTTGCCAAAGGCTGCATTTCTGGGCTGCGCGTGAGCCTGAAATCAACCATCTTGAATCTACGTATCTGATATACTGGAGCTACAGGTCTTGTATAGTATGTATAGTATATATATATATATATACACTTGTATAAGTGGTTCACCTTGTTGCTGTTGGTCATCTATTACAAACTTCGGACCGCTGCACGAGGCAAAGCAATCGCTAAACACAGTGCAACCGGTTTGTCCCAGCTTTGTCCTCCTCTAAACGTGCTAGGATGATGGGAATGCCACCATAGCTACAATATGTTATATAATGTTATATACAATGTAGTGTAATTGCGCCTGGACAAAGAATATTCTAGGTCTATATGGTTGTTGGATGTTCTTAGTCATTGGAACCTCTCACTGGTCATCTAGATGTAGTAAGGCATGGTAAGGCGTAGCTGGTTTGATCACCGAAAAGGTTTGATCACCCAAATGGCGTAACCAACATGTTGCTTCCTCCGCACCACACATCTACCAGAGGTAGCGACCTAAAGCTGTGCCACACTGAAGAGTGACAGGATGCATATTCCAACTCTTCGTTCGCACCCGAAGATTAGCTGCAGCCATGTGATTGCCGAGAAGAGTTTTTTCTGTGTCATAATTAAAGGCATCCCAACCTTAGTTTATAAATCCAAAAAAGCAACGTCTTCTTGCTGTCCCCTTGAGGTTCGATTTTGTCTGGTTGAAGGCAACCCACCCGACAAAGATTGGTCATTGGCGACTCATCTTCTAAACAATCAACCATTGGAACCACCATGAACCACCAACCAGCAACAGTTCCTAACGATGTGGTTATTGATGGAATAAAATACGCGGAACATTGGCAGCCCTACCATGCCCTACCCTTACCCTCCCAGAGCACCAGTTCTTCATTCGCTTCTCCTCTCGTGCTCCCTGAAAACCGGCTTGAACCCAGAACCCGCCCAGGCCAAGCCCCCACTCCCGGCTCCCTTCGTCCCAAGAGACGCTCGGTGATGAAGGTCCGTCCGCCACCAGGAGGGCCCATGGCAGAGACCATGACCACATCGATGATGTTGAACCTCATCGGCTCGGCTCAGCTCGGCTCGGCTTGCGGTGGCGCCCCGGTGCGGTGCACGGAGAAGGGCACGCGGTTCAGTCTGACAGCGGGTGGTCTGAGAGCCTCTGACAGCGGAGCCGTTGTGGAGTCTGGAAGATCGGAGGCATTGGAAGACTGCAGATCTGGTCCTTGCTCTGCCCACCTACCAGGGTTTTCCCATGTTTGCCCTTTGCGGAAAACAGCATATGAATCAAATTCACAACACGGGAGATCCGGAGAAGTCTAAGCTGGTTTGAGATCACGCCATGGGACATCGTTTTCAAGGCCCCTGGACCAGTGCATGGTTCAGAACGTCAAACTGTGTAACCGGCATCATGTAGCTGCTATAGTGACTATAGGATAAAACTATTTTGGTACAACAGCAGCTGAATCCAGTAGAGCAGTGGAGTGTTTAGTTGCTAAACTCGATTACCGATTAGCTGCCATTCAGCTGCTCACCTCTCAGTTTGACTGAACTGGACGGAACATGCAGTGCACATCCTCAAATCTCTCGAAGAATTCCTGGTTGCTGTTCTTAGCCAAGGTGAGACACCATTTTTGTATCAGGAAGGCTTTAGGGTCCAAACCTCCCCAAAGTTAATACTTCTTGGAGCTGATCTGGTGCATTTTGTATGAGGAACACCTTCTACCTTCGGAATTCCACGGAATTCCCACTGCAAAGGTACGGGAGTTGTGAATTGATATGGTGTCCCACCACTCGGGCGCAACTCCACCCCAGAAAAAGCTCGGGCGACGACTTCACCAACTCCTGGTGATCCAGGCCCGAAGGCGAAAGAGTTGGCGCTGGGGAAGGCCACAGGGTTCCAGGCTCTCTTAGATGGGTGTTCTGGATAACAGGATCACAGCTGGAATCACGACTATTGCCCTCAGCTTTGGGGTTCTTGGATTTTTGTCCACCTGTGGAATTCCGTTAAGGCCAAGGCAATTCAAGCACACAAAGCCACAAAGAGAGAAAGAAAGAGCAACAAATTTAGCATACTCTTTTCCTTACGCTCTTTTCTTCAGCATGGACGTTGGATTATCTTGGAGACAAATCCTCAGTTGGGAGACTTCACTATACTTGGATTCTTCTTGCTGTCGGCTCGTCCAAGAGGCCACGATGTCATTCCCTACACTCCCTGGAATCATCATGGTTATATGGATGGCATGACCCCGAGTTCGGACGGCCATGTTCCAAACACCAAACCTGTGGTGAACTCCACTTTAATGATTTCAGGAAGTGTCATCCTTTCATATCCTTTCATGATGGTTCTCCTGGTTCTGCTTGCCTTTCACGCGCCACCTTTTCCGAAAAAGAACCCCCCCGACCGGGGCCATTGGGCAGTCGTCATCGACGGCCAGCGATCCCCGAGAGTCCCTGGGTCCTTTCGGTTGTACCAGCCCCCATGATCGTGCCACTGACGAATCAGTTCAATGGGCGGCTGAGCACCGTAGTATTCCTGGCACCACGTGGGCGAGTTCGGCGGACGTTCCGACAGACTGTCTGGAACGTCCGCCCTAAGTAGAACATCCAAAGAAGTAGAATGGCGTTGAGACCCCGAAAATCCAGCATCATCCAGCCGTAAACATGTTCAAATCTTCCTGGTTGTTTGACAGTCGACCTAAGAACGAAAATGAAGAAAGAACTCCAAGGGTGACGTGTCAACCACCCTACTAATCAATCCCACATCTTCCATTTCCTCTCAAAGTCAAGTCGGCGACCCTATCAAGTCCTAAGCACTCCATGTATGTCATATTTACCGACATTGGGGTGGTGCCAGAGGGGTCTGTCTGGGGCGGCAGTCCGTCCTGGCAGTCCCAGACAGGTCGTGTCTCGACTCGTCTGGGAGTCGTTGAGTCCACCCCGAGCGGAATCCCCTGAAACCGAGCGGACCGTTCGTTCCGGACGCCGGGTGGATCAAGTCCAATCCCCCCTGTGGGCGAATGGGATTCGGGTTGGGAGAACCGGAGCGAACTACGAATCCCTGTGAACCTTTCGTATGGGTTCCCGTCAGGTTCCCAGAAGAGACGAGCGTTGGTTACCGCACGGTGTCCGACATCAACAGATCCAATGCCAAGCAATCATCTGTCAAAGCAACTGAAGGACGACTGTGTGCACTTCTTAAGCCGTTGGTCGAGCCAGTACCCTTCTAAAAGAAGAACCGCCGCCCAAAAAAAGGGACTCGTTTGGTAGCAGGGCTGATATCTCCGCTGGCAACGAGAGGGGGCAACATGCAGGAAGCCAGTGTCCCATCCTTGAGAGGCATGTTCAAATCCTCGGCGGATTGGCAAGAGGTGGCCGACCACCCGGACTTACGTACTCCAAATGAATGAAGCTCCCTGACTCCCTGACCAAAAGGCGGCGAAGGTGCAGAATCGTTTCACATTCCCTTGATATGTTTTTCCACTGTTAGCGGGGAGGCCCCTTCGTTGTTCTATATTGTTTGTCTACGGTTTAGATGGATTCATCCAGGAAGCGAAGCGGCTAATCTTGATACACTGTGCCATACATGCACACAAAGTTGTCATGCACACAAAATGAATGAGGTATATACCCCTTTCTCAAACCAACATGGACCCTGGAAACTCACCACGGCTTGGCTTCCAGGAAAACAGTCGGACTCAGGGTGCCCAAACCAGTGTCATTCAGTAGTTTTTGGGAGTGTATTCTTTGTACATTCTGACTAACACATCACATGGAAGTGGATGGCATGGCCCCAGTGAAGACCATTTTCCTTTTAGTGAGTCGGAGTGTAGCCACTACTGGACCCTGGTGGGTTCGAATGGACGTCCCCTCAAAGGCGTTGCCAGTCGGTGTTTCGCGAGCTGATCCGAGCTGATCCTCGTGTACCGTGTGCCCACAACCCGTGGTCAGTTTATTTGTAGGGATTTCTGTGTCAAACAACTGGTGGTCCACTTGCTAAGTGTGGTCATGCTGCCACTTAGTACATATCATATATGTATATAAGTCGGTTAATGATGTATACTTATACGGAACGCGTGGAACAAGGTAGCAATGGCTCAAGGCTAGCCAAGGACTCAGCAAAATGAGCCGATGCATGGAAGACTCTGCAAGACTCGTTCCATTCAATAAGCCGGCATTCATTTCCATAATCCTCACCCGCTATCCTTATAATACCTATATATAAACATCCTAGACTCACTACCTGCAACATCCTTCCACATGAACTCAGCAGTTCTTTCTACGTTGTGCAGTGCAGGTGGGAAAAACGCACGGCTGATGCACAGCCGAGGTAAGGTCTAGGGGCACATGCCATGCTGCACAAGTATGTGTCAAATTTGGATTGCTGCTCTCGGATGCCAAGGCTGCCAAGGCATCCAACAAGCAATTTTCTGCACAAATCTAAAGCAAACACCGTTCAGAAGGCACTCTCCTCATGAGAACACCATCTGATTTCAGGAAACATCACACTATCCTTCGATCAAGCAATGATTCAAAAGAGCATTCAACTGCTTCAGTCAAGCAGTTCAGGACACATCCCCCCCATGAGAATGTGCTCCTTCAGTTGTGCTAAACAAAGCCTGGTCAAACCCACACAGACTCCACACTCTCCTCATCCGTTGCCATATCCGTCTCCTCCACCTTCTTCTTGGCCAGACAGCTCCGTTGTGGCACTGGTGCTTCAGAACTGGCCGTGGCTGCGGAGGCTGTAGAGGACATGCTGCGAAGTGAAAGAAAGCTCCTCAAACCGCCCAAAGCACTTCCAGCGCTTCGGCAGGTCGAACGCTCCGTAGCACCTGCCGTCGACGACTCCGCGGACTCTGTGCGCCCCGATTCCGTAGTGCCCTTTGTTCCTAGTAGCGAACATTGCTCCTAGTAGTAAGGCCAGGAGCCCCGTTCGTAGCGTCCTTGCTTCTTGCTCCTAGAACGTTTGTGTTTGTTAAATTCATTGCAGTGAATGCATCTGCGCCTTCTAAATGATTCTAGATATTCATAGCATCGTTCGTGTAAGGTCCGAAGCAGTTTAAATGAAAGTGACTTAATTCAGTCAAACAACATCGAGACAAATAGATAGCAAATCAACAACAATTCTTTCGATTCTTCAGCCCTCAGAAAGGCCGGGTCGCAGTTGCTTAATATACCCTGGGGCTCCAGTCGGACCTTCTTAGAAGGTGGGACTGGGGTGGGTGCCAGGAGGGTCCAAAATACCTTCTAAGGATGTACTTGGAACCCTAGGGATATGAAGGTTCAGGCCTACCTGGAAACCCAGTATGGATGTATTGATGCATCCACAGTCCCAACCACTTGCTACGTGGATCTCAAGCAAGCCATATTGAAACATCCATTTGTTTCTGGTTGTTTGGGGTTCCAGGTAGGGGGTTGTTACTTTCTTCGCTATTCAGCTACCTCTCTGATTCTCACATATCTTCACCTATCATTGCTTGGCAGGGTCTCTGTAATGATTAGTTCGGAGCTTTTGGATCAAACCTTCCAGTGGTTAAGCTGATTGCAGCAGATTGATCCTGACTTCTACTCCCACATGGCACCCCGGGAAGGGGACACGGTGCCCTGGGCCACTTTCCAGAGAGTGGCGAACGCAGATGACGAGGACCTCTTTCTCTGCGTGTCTTTGGGTTTTGAGGTGACCTTGTTGAATCCACCAGTTTGGGACTGCTTTACGGGATATGGCATCAAAATGATTGGTGGTGGCGATTCTTCACTGCCCTTGATGGAGCTGTGTTTGAGCACTACTTTTCCGATTGAGTTGGAGCACCTGCATCTTGGCCGATCCGTTGTGGATCTTTTCGCTGGCACCGGGTCGATGGGGAGAACTCTGGACACCATGGGATTTCATACGGTTCTAGCGATCGATTCGTCACAACTTGCCTGCAAACATTTGAGGGCTTGTTTGAGTGCTAGAGTGATCCAGAATGATATCACCCATATTGGTACGGTTTGTGAAGCACATGGGCACCTTGCGAGCTTGAATGTTTCCAATTTCATCTTGTGTGCTGGCTTTCCTTGCCAGCCTTTCTCCCCCCAGGGGTTGATGAGGGGTGAACTAGATGAAAGGTTCAGCTCATTCATTGGCATGCTCACTATGATTCGTGCCACACGCCCCTGTGCCGTACTACTGGAGTGTGTGCCTGGTGCTGCATCAAGTACTGCAGTCATGCAGTCCATTCGTGAACTAGTTCATGAACTCGGTTGGGAATTTCGCCAGGTCCAACTAAACCTGGCTGACCAGTGGCCTCTGCAAAGAAACCGGTGGTTTTGTGTGTTGGCACCAGCCTGTTGGTTGCCAAGTGTGCTTCGAGTATGGCCTAAATGTCATGATCATCCGGACATTGGTAGTGTGATTGGTGACTTCATGAACCTGACCAAAGATGGCATGGGAGACCTGATCCTTTCAGACTATGAGCTTAGCTGCTACAATGACAAGAGCTTTGGTGCAGACTTGAGGTGCATCACCAGAGCGGACGTCTGCCCATCGGTTTTGCATAGCTATGGATCGGCACTCTCAGCCTGTCCTTGCAAGTGCAGGAGCCAAAGCTTTTCGATGACCTCCTTGATTTGCAAAGGCCTACGGGGCTTTTACATCGAGACACCTGAAGGTGCTAGATACCTACACCCACAAGAGCTGGCTCTCCTTCTGACACTATCGCCAAACTGGAGGTGGACTACCTCATCCAAGGAGTCGCTCTGTCTTCTGGGCTTGGTAGCGTCACCCCTCCAGATCCTGTGGGTCTTTTCCCAGGTTGTTGAGCAGGCAGCTTTGACGGACAATGCTTTAGTGCCTCTCTCCCCTGAGATTATCATTGAGGACTACAAGAGGAAGATCTTGGCCGAATACCATGTCCGGAATGCAAAGGACAAGACGCTCCACACAGTTGCAGTCTTGGGGGAGGATCAACCTCCTATCTGCTTCTCTGCTACCACTGGCTTGATTGGAAGTGAATTCCTGGCTGCTGAACGCATCAATGAAGAATGGGGTTCTTTGAGAAGACTGGTTTTGGCTAACAACTTTGACATCAGGGCTGACTCCACCATCCCATTGAACACACATGAAGTCATGCTTCAGCACAGGCTCAAGCGCCAAAGGAAGAATACACCGACCTATGACGTGGTCATCGCTGTGCACTGGCTTGGTCAATGCTTCATCCTCATTGAGCCTTGTGGTAGCTTCCTCTTCCAGTTCGCCCAACAGCTGGGCTTGGAGCCTTGCACACTTTTTGTCGACCATGAAGCGCAACCCCTGCGTATGGACCATCGAATCTGGTCGCCCTGTGTGCTTTTCGTCATTGATCGACACTCTTGTCCAACACTCCCTTCGCTCCGGGGAGGTGGATTGACGCACCTGCCAACTTTGGATGGGGGCGGCACCTCGGATGCAGAGCTCGCGGTCCAGGTGCAAAGCCTTCTGGAAGTACATGATCTGCCTTGGGAATTCTATTGGCCACCAGGATTCGCACTTTGGACTCATGATGTGTGGCCAGCCGTGGCCACTGATGCCATTCGCCTGCGATGGAACTTGGGTGGCTCAGAGTGTGGAGCACGCATCGGCATCTATTGGGAGCAAGGGCATTGGGTTGCGTATGCCATGTGCCGACTCTCTGATCACCTGATTGTCCTGTTGCTTGATGGGCTCTCCACGCCTGTCACATGGCAGATTGAACTCTTCTTTGACCGAGTAGGCCGTGCATTGGGCTGCCTCCATGTGCATGTGAACAAATGCACTTTGATTCAGCAGACCTCAGGAACCCATTGTGGAGCGATTGCTGTTTTGCACTTGGTCATGATGATTCAAGAAGAAGCATACTTCACCGAAGAAGATGCAATCCACCTGCATAACAACATCATGGTTGAAAGACAGGGACATGGTCAGGTGCCTACTGAGCTCACACTTTCGGCCACACTGCCCTTTTCATTGGTTGGATCAGGACCTGATGTGCAGCAAACCCTCCGTACCCTTTTGGTCTCCAAGGGGGTGGATGAAGAGGACTCAAATGCCAGAGCACGGATGCTCATCAGTAAGCTTGGGATTGATCTTGTGACACGCATCTTGGAAGATCGCAATCCATGGCAAGCCCTGAAGGCCAATGCCAATCGACCAGGGCTGAACATCAAGATCCTCACCGAGCAGGAAAAAGACCTATACATAAAGATGCGATCCTCAACCCAACATGGAGCCCAGGTGGCTAATTACAAGTCCAAGAAGCAACGGGGCTCAAATGGAAGCAGGACGCCACAGTCACTTGATCCGGAGCTCCTCACACTAGAGCCCAAGCACTTTGCAGATGAAGATGGCCACACGCTGCCTCAGATCAACTTCGATCAGGTTGGTGCCGAACAAAGAGGCCTGGCTTTGTGCACGATTGAACAAGCACGGCGTTTCATTCCTCAGAAGAGTTTTAGCACCCATGCACTTGGATTGCTTCTCACTGAATGGCAAGATGAAATCGCGGCTGCCGTTCCAGTGCTTCAGAAGTTTCGCTTTCCGGCCACCTATAGGGAAACAGGTGAACAGGTCCTCGTTTTTGGCAGTCTGATCTCATTGGGGGACAAGAAGATACAGCGGGTCATGATGGGGCCTACTGTCGCCCACAGTCCACTGGCTACGGTGGTGATCAAGTTCTTCATATATCGTGATCAATTTGGAGTGCCTTGGGAACGTTTCATCCAATCACCGGTCAAGGAAATGATCCAAGCATATGCACCGCTTTCTTTCTGTAATGGGAAGAGTTGTGGGGCACATTGTGCTTTTACCCATGCTGACGTGGATGACTCCTTTGACCAGGTCCTGCTTGAGGTTTGGGGGCGGTCATTTCAGTCTATTCAAGGCCAACGAGTTCAACCTGATCAGGCTGAGATCTTTGCTGTTGCATTCCGTGTGCCAGCAGCTACCCTAGAACTCTTGGTCAAGAACCATCCTGTTGGAATGTATGCGGACCCTCGCACTGATGATCCAAAGATTCCTCACCCAAGTCTCTCAGTGATTTGGCTTAACAAGAATGACTACGAAGGGGCACTCATCCAGTACAAGACTTGCTCATTCGCGCTTGCTTTGGTGCGAGCAAGAAATCGCTACGGGATACAGGTGAGTAAAGCCAACACTGAGAAGGCCTTCCAGCAACTCAAGCCAGGCCTTGACTTCCAAGACGTCAAGATTGAGAAGATCTATGAGGTACTGCCCATTCCGCATGGGACTCAGAAAGCAACGATGACCAAGATCCTCCAGACTTGGGGGTGGAAAGCACGGGTGCTTCAGCCTGGCCGCTCAACCATTCACCACATGTCCTGGAAGATTGGTTCTGATTCTGATCCACCTCTATGGACTACGCAAGCCTTTGGCACAGACGTTATCGTCAACTTGGTCAAGCACGTTGACCACAAGACCCAAGGCCCAAGACTTATGGGCACGAGCTCCACCATGCGCCATATCCAGCAGTCACTTGCGCCAGCCAAGAAGAAAGATCCATGGCAGGAAGCGGGAGCTGACCCCTGGGCCACCTTCAGGCCTACTGTGGCCTCCTCTTCATGCAGCCCTGCTGACGCAGGATCCAAGACTCACCTGGACGAGATCACCAACCTACTCCAGAAAGATGTGAAGCAGGCAGTGCAGAAAGAACTGGCAGCACATACGCCCTCCTCAGCCGATGTATCAATGGATCCGCATCAGCTTCAGCGGCTCCAGAGGCTAGAAGATTCCATCCAGAATATTGAGCAGCAACAGACTCAGATGCATAGCTGGTTCAAGGAAACACAACAAACGGTCACTGCACATGAACAAGGCCTG